TTTGTTCATGTGCTGCCTTAACTTAGCGATGAACCCACCACCTTATATAGTGTTTTGTCACCAAGGCTGGCCTTGAATTTATGATCCTCCTTCCTCAGCTCCCTGAGCACTGGGATTGCAGACATGTAAAGTGAACAGCCTGAGTGCTGGTCTCTTTAGGAACTGTATTTTGCATCATCCGACACAATACTCACTGTCTTGCCTATGAGTTCATTACCCCCTTTAAAATGAATTTGTTTTAAAGTGTATAAAAAAGTTATGATGCCGTTGTAATCCTTTGCACCTGCTTTTTCTACCATTTTTCTCACTAAAAGTTCGCATGCTTGATGTATGACTGAAATCCCACAGTGCAGGCAGACTGCAATACAACATCCCCACTCATTAGACAGTTTGGGTTATTTCATGCATATCTTGTTGTGATCTCCAGCTGAGTCTTACAGTGTAAGAATCTGGGGATAATATTTTCACAATTTTGGGTGTACTTCAAAAGACGGTGTCTGCATAATAATTTTTATGTGAAAATAACTGGGGGACCAATTTAAAGTCTGAAGACTATTTACCAATTCAGCATCAACAGCAATAACAGCAACAACAACAAAAACCCCTCCCACCCCCCCCCCCCCCACTCCACATTCCTGGGTTAGGGTACTTGGTGAGAATTTCTTACTTGAATCTGAACTTCAGATTAGCTTAGAAGCCTGTGGGATTCTCCCTTTGCCTAAGAGTAGCCAATGAGACATTACCAGGACAGAATTTTTGTAGGTCCTAGAGCAGAAGCGAGGAGAAAATCACCGACACTTAACATGGTCTACTATAACACATGCAAATTACAGTGAAGCATTCTTTTCACACCCAACGTTTGGAAATAAGGGGAAAGAGATTATCTTCAGGAGGTAAAGTCTTAAAAATTTGATTTTTTTAAAGCTTTCAAATGCTTAATGAAGTCTGCAGAGAGATGCAAAGGTGTCTAGGCTAGCATGATTTGACTGTAATACGATTGAATGAATTAATGTGTTTAAAGGAAACACATAATGATCAGTCTGAGGGATGGTAGTAGAAAGATTCCAGAGCCCATTTTAAGAACCATGTTTGCACTGGACTCCAGAGTCAGGAAAATCCTGACTGTGGAAATGGCGCTGTTGGAAAGCAACATGTTCTCGGTGTTAACACCCCTTTTTTCCTGGTGGGCATGACGGCTGCATTTATTGCCCTCTTTTGGCATGCTCAGCTTCTGAAATCTGCTGATCTTGAGTTCTCCTATGAGGGGTCAGTGTGCTGAAAGGTCCCGGGGCTCCTAGGCTGAGGGCTACCCTGAGGACTTGCTGGGGCCTTACAGGACGACATCACACGGGGAAGATTCTTCGGAGATAGCCACTGTCCTGTTCCAGATGTCACTCTCACTTACACCTTCATGCTTTTGTGTCATCACAGTTCTGCATCGGCCAAGTCTTTGACTGTGTCAGGCCCACAGATATGTTTCTGAGGGTGAACTCCAGACGATCAGCTTGAGGTGGCCTCATGAACCTTCTAGAGCAGGATCTTGCCCCCGTGAGGTGTGTGTACGTGTTTCTGTGTTTCTGTGAGGAAGAGTGCATGGGTGGGAGGTCAAGGAGAACAATGCAGTGCTGTTCTGTGATGCCTGCAGCCTGCCATGAGTTGATTATTGTATAGCATTCTTTGGACATTTTTCTAATGTCAGTTTTTGGCTATCAATCTCTTTCTGTGGGAGGTGACAGCAGTTGGGGAATGGGGGGGGGAACAGAACAACTGCTTCAAGCATATCCAGAGATATGGCAGACACTCCATAACATAAGAAGCAAAGCGGTACCAGATGACGATGATGGCACCATGCTAACTAACCTTTACAACTTACACCCCTGTCTGTCAATAGCTCTGGTCATACAATATTCACTTCAAGTCAGTGAAATTAACTTATTTCAACAAGCAACAATTGAACATGCCTTGTGCACAATTTTTGACCCTTTCTACAGAAAATTTAACAGTGTATTACAGATCATGAGCCACTCAGGGAAGTGGCAGTGTCCTCCAGAGGGGGTCCAGGGTGGCCTAAGAGAGATGGATGGGGTTGGCTCGCCAGCGTCACTGTCTACTCCTATTATTCTGGGGTTAGTGACGGCACTAACGACAGGGCCCAAGACCACATTTGGATGATAAGGGATTTGGCCACCCTCTGTGGATCTCTCCTTTGCCCTTTGCTTAACCTTGCAGTTCTATCTCTTCCCCGCTGTAACCTAGTGAGTGTCTAGAGACTAGAGACATTGTTTCACATCTGTCATGGTCCACATGTCTGCTATTTGGATAACACTTAACAAACTTGTTACATTAAGTCAAACTGAAATTAAGGACAGAGAAAGAAGGGACCGATTAGAAATAAGTTCACCCTATTTTCTGTGTGTTGCAGAATCAGTTTTGAGTTGCGTTGGGCCTTGTGCCTTGGGAAATATACTTAATTTTTTTCAACTATGTAAGAGGATATTTATAAAGTGCTTAGAGAGAGACTTGAAGATGCCCAAGAATTGTTAGCTGCAGCAGTGTGATCTCAGTAATTATTAATTACAGGTAAAAAAAATTATATATGATAACTTTGAACTTGAGCTTTCTTAAGTAGAGAAGGAAGATACTAATTTCTGCTTACTCTCTTGATAATGAACATGAGGACACTTTCAAACACTAACAGAGAGGTTGGCACATTGGCACAGAGTAACTCATAAAAATGACACAGGGCTCCCCTGCCAATATAAGAAAACATCTAAACACTACTTTTAGAAAGTGATAGAATGGTGAGACTGGGGAGTAGAAGCTGATCTATGCAAAGCTGTGGGCAAGGAGAGGACATGGGAATGACTGAGGGAGGTACATGGGTTAGAGTGGGATTAATAAGCATGGCTGCAGGTTGGATGTGGAGCTAAGCTGGTCCAGTCTTGGCAGCTGGAAAGCAGTAGCTTGAGCTTCCACAGAGAGGGAGGTACCACTTCAGGATAGATGTCTACCCTGTAAAATGAGTTAAGAGCACTTCAGAAAAGTCATACTGAATCGGATAACGTGGCAAGTTGCTCTTCATCTCCCATGACTGCACTAGTGTGCTAGGAAGGAATCTAGTAATTACACACTAGAGTACCTTGCAGCCAAGAGTCAAAGACCCTTCTCTGTTGATGTAGTCTTCGTCACGCGAGACAGAGAAGTTGGTCATGTCAAGTTTGATGTTTGTGGGAGCCCGTTTTCAGGTTCTTCGTGGCTTTACCCAGCAGGTCCTCATGGAGAGGATGATTAGGACCATAGCCTGAGTGCAGGTGTCTGAGATGGTTTGCACTTGGCTGTGCTGGGGGGAGGAGGTCTTTTGCTCCACCCCTTGGTGTTTCTATAAATGCCTTAGGGCAGAGACAGTCAGGGCCTGTTGGAATAGGTTCCAGGCCCTCTCGAGGCTATCCTTATTTTCTATCTAAATCCTTCTATCTAATAGTTCCTGCTGCTCGCACTCAAGAAAACTCTGGGGAACTGTGGGGTTGGTGGGTAAACACCCCACAGATGTTCAGTGCAGTTGTTACCTTAAGACACAGACTAACAGAAGTACAGTGTTTAACACTAGGAATTCTTGGATCTAATTACCTGTAAATCAGGGCCTAGGGTTTCATGTCTGTGTTGGGGCTATTGGAACCAAGTCATAGTAATGTTAGCAGGGGCATCATCATCATCATCATCATCAACATCATCACCACCACTACCACTACCCCCACCATCATCAACATCACCACCACCACCCCCATCTTCATCTTCATCATCATTATCATCATCATCATCAAAGCAGCGGCGGGAAAGATTCGGATGTAGACTTATACATGTTCAGTTATTTCCACCCTACAGTAACTTTGTGCTATCACTGTCCCATTTTTGTGGGTGACAGAGGGATTGCATAGCTTATTAATATCCACATGCCTAGCAAATGGCAACACTGATTTCTGAAAATGAAGTGCCTCAGTCAGTCTTGTTGTGCTTTTACCCAGCACACTCCCTTGCTCTCCATTTCAGCCATTGTAACAAGCATGAGTTCTACCTTGACTTTGTGGCATACAGTTGTGGGACCAAGGCCACTCACTTCAGAAGTGCTTTTCTATTCTGCCCCAGATGGTTCTCAAAAGGAAGTTTGTCTAGATTATCAAATACCAGAGATGAGCCCCCTCTTTCAATGTGTGTTTTTCAGGGTGGAGTAATCATCCTTCACAGCATGGAAGAGCTGCTTAACAACCACATGATATCCACGGCATTTCCTTTTGGGTAGAAAATTCTTTTGTTACTGAACAAAGGAGTCGGAGCAAACAGCAGAACCACAAAGCAAGTTGGCCACTAATCCCCTGTGGTCAAATTCCTTCATTAAATACTGCTCTAAATTCAAGTCCTGTTTCCTGCTTCAACCACTCTTGAGGCTGCTAACCCCGGAGTCATTGGTATCATGTGGCTACTGTCATCTGCTAGTATCCACAGTTTGTCACATGGCTGTGGTCATGCTTATAACAATTGTGAATCAAATTCTAGGTGTGGTAGCTGACAGACTTGGGCTTGCCCAAGACTTAGCCCCAGAGCTTCTAGATGTGTGGCTTTGGACAAGACAGTATATCCGCTGTCTTGAGCTCCTTTGCATTATTTATTCAATGAGGGGAGTATTATCTCATTTTAGGAATGACACAGGAATAGGGGTGACTGGGGAGACTTAAGATCATATCTTGGAGCACCCAGGATAATGTGTAGCCCAGGGTAGCTTGGTGATTTGACATTGCCTTTCCTGGCTAAAAGGTTCCTTCTTGGAGGTCCGGAATCACGTCTGAAACTTCTTGGTCAGGAATCTGACTTCATTCTTTCCACCCTCTCTCCCCCCATGCCTGTCTTCCCTCACCAGATCATTCACTCCTTACCTCCGTTTCATCCCTAAAAGTAGGGTTTGTTCCAAGTTCGACCAACACTTGGAATCCTTTTTGTTCTTTCAGGAAATATTTGGCTACCGGACTCAAGGCTGTCGGAAAGCTCTCTGTCTCATTGGATCCATCTTCTCTCTCGGAATCCTCCCTTTGGTGTATTACTGGAGACCAGCTTGGCATGTGTGGGCAAACTGTGTCCCATGTTCCCTGCAAGAAGCAGATGTTGTGTTGCTGAAGACAACTGTAAGTATGCATCTGTTTTTGTAGATGGTGTCCCTTTTTTTGGATACTGGGTTGTAAGATGTCTCCCAGGCAAGTGGTACATGGGTAGGCTCCTCCATCACTGTATACCTGCCCAGAACCCAGAGATTTGTCTACAATAGGATTTCTTAAGGATAATTACTTCACAGGGTAGTCCCTTTAAAATTGTGACTTTAGCAAATGTTAGAGCCAACATGTTGATTTACGTGTTGATTGCTGAAGTAGTGGGTAGGGTAGAGCAGTTAAGTCAAGGCTACAAGCCACTAATTCTAAATTCCTACCGACCCTTGACTTTAAGCCTGGCGCGTAGATGCTTCTGGCCTCCACAGGAATGACTCTGGAAAAGGGACAAGGGAGTTTGAGAGATGAGGAGCATCCTGCTGAGGAAGCTGCTGTCTCCCTGTGCTGATGAGGAGAACCATAGATTTTGATATGCTTGTGTCCTGTTCTGCAGAAATACTAGGGCATAAAATGCAACCATTTTGTCACTGAGGCCACTGCCATTCTGCTATTTCAAGGCTGTGGCATCAGGTGAGGCTCTCCCAGCTTAGCTTCATGTCACTTCCTTGTGGCACTCATGGCACTGAGACCACATGTAACACCCTCCCCCCCCCCCGAAAGCCAGGTCCAGAAGGGGAGCTTATATGTTAACTGATACACTCCCAGTTCCAGCTTCTGTACGGGGTGACTGATAGGTGGACATGGCACTCTTATTGAGGGAATGAAGTGACAGTCTCTTGGAGGATTCTTTCCTGACTAACTCTGTTATTCTAACAAGGCATTGGCGCAAATGACCTGTGGCAACAACCAATTTTGATAAATCAACTTCTATTGTAGTGGTGCTCAACCTTCCTAATGCTGCCACCCTTTAATCCAGTTGTTTGTGTGTGGTGAGCCCCCAACCATAAAATTATTTTTGTTGATACTTCATCACTGTAATTTTGCTACTGTTATGAACTGTAATGTAAATACCTGATATGCAGGATACCTGATACGTGACCCCTGTGAAAAGATCATTAGACTTCCAAAGGGTTGCCACCCACAGGTTGAGAACTATAACACGAATCTTAAAAGTTCTTATTAATGGAAAAAAACCTGGAGCCAGATACTGGGGTGAAAACAGAAAACAGATCAGAGTGACAGAACAAGCCACAGCCAACCTTACCTCACCAACTCCTCAGCCGATCCTGTTTCCATGAATCCTTAGGCTGAAAGCCTCTGAGTCCTTATCCCTGAGGTTCTCAGTTGAACTGTTGCTAAAGGCCTCTAGTTCCTGGTTCTCATGCCTTGTATACTTTTCTGCTTCCTGTTACCACTTCCTGGGATTAAAGGCCTGTGTCCTTCCCAAGCAAAGACATGAGATCTCAAGTGTTGGGATTAAAGGTGTGTGCCACCACGCCTGACTCTGTTCCCAGTGTGGCCTTGAACTCACAGATCCAGACAGATCTCTGCCTCCCGAGTGACAGGATTAAAGGTATGTGCCACCACTGCTGGGACTTTATGTCTAATTTAGTGACTTTCTCTGTTCTTTGTTCCCTCTCCATGAGGGGGGCGACGACAGCACAATATATCACCACAGAGAGCCGCTGCTCTTATGGGAGTGTAACACATTTTTATTTGTGCCAATCTTTCTAGATAAATATGTTATCTATGCAGTAAGAGAGAAGAGCAGCCCGTTTGACAGCTGGTCAGTCAGAATCAAACAGCTCCCTGCCGCCTAATGAAACCAACAAAACAAAACAAAAACACCCAAACATGCCACATTGAAACCGGCTATCCAACACAGCTTGAGCTAACCTTTCCTTAACCTGGGAGTCCAACCAAGTTTGTCTTTGTTGGCTTGTGTTATAGAAACCAGCCCCGTCCTTTAACTTGATCCTGGTGTCTTCAAATCACTACATGATACATGAGTGGCAGCTTAGGGACCAGCTCACAGGTTCGACTATAATCTCGCTAGATATTCTCGAAGAATAAACTTCTAGACTTGAAGAGGTCCAGAGGCTGTTTGTGTAGTAAGTAGGACTACTTGGTACTAAACTGGAGCTTTACCTCAAGGCTCACATCATGAAGACTTGCAGAATGTTCAGGAGAGAAAAGTGCCAGGCACTTACCATTGGGCATTTGATGGATTAGAAAGAAGAGCCCCAGAAACATGGTAGACTGTACCTAAAGTCACAGAAAGGGAGACAGGATGAAGTCCTCTGTATCCTAGGCCCTCATTCAGGGCTGCTCCCACTACACTGCACTTGACCACTTCTGTTCCAATCTCACCTGGCATCAGCATGATCGAAGGGCCTGCGGAAACAGATTGCAAGCTCCAACCCTCAACCCCTCAGAGCTGCCAATCTATTGTGTTCGGGTTGAGGCCCAAGAATGTGTGTCTTTAACAAGCTTTCAGGTGTTGTGAGACCTTTTGGCAAAGGACAAACAGTGAGAAAAAACTGCTATAGTCAGAACTAGTATCTATCAGTTCACTTGTTGGTTGGGAGAGGACTAGAGACCAGGATATTTGATCTATGACTCAGCCATAGATGTGTATACAGTATGAAGAGGAAAAAAAAATCCAAATTTAGCCAGATGTTAGAAGTGGACTTCCTGTACATAGCCCGAGTGTCTCAGGAAGGCAGTTGTATTTTCTGGGCCACTGAATGAGGGGCCTTGCGTGTTCATGAAAAACTACCATTTGGGGTTCCTTTGAAAAAAACATATTCCTCTCTCATACAATACATCCCGACCTTCTTTTCTCCCCCCTCTCCTCCTTCCAGCCCTCCTTCTCCTCTCCTCCCATACCCCTGGTCCACTCCTTCTCTGTTTTCCTTCAGAAAACAGCAGGCCTCCTGGGGTGTCAATCAAACACGGCATAACAAGTTACAACAGGACAAGGCACGAGCCCTCATATCAAGGCTGGGTGAGGCAACCCCGTGGGAGGCAGGAGAGTCAGAGAGTTATTAGGGTGTACAATACACTGGGGGACACAATATATTGGGGGACACAGAGAACCATTGCTCTTATGGGAGTGTGACACACTTTCGTTTGTGCCAGTCTTCCGAGATAAACATTTTATCTATGCAGCAAGAGAGAAGCGCAGCCCATTTGACTGTTAAGAGTCCTGGGGGTTCCTTTTTTATGGTGGTGAGGATAAGCCCAGTGCCTTGCATGTGCTCGGCTAGTATTCCACCCCCGGGTTACACACCCAGCTCAGGATCCTTTTACTAGGACATCATTCCATGTGAATTAAGAACCCATAAGGCTGACCCTGTAGCATGAAAGGAGTTTAACTCTACATGGCACCAAACTGGCTCCCAGACAGCATCGTTCTTGCTGCGGTAGAAGCAGAGCCACGGAAATGGAGGAGCCCTCTGCCTGTAGCTCTGAAGGACTCTTGGCTGGCCAGTCCTTGCCCCCCTGCCCCCATGCTGCTCACAGGCCCAGGGCACAGATGGAAATAAGAGGAAATGGGCAAGGAAACGGAAAATGTAAGTAGGAAAGTGAAGGAAATGGAGGGGCAAAGAGGTTAAAAGAAACAGAGAGGAGGAAGAGTGAAGTCAGAAACCGTCAGGCTACAGAAGAGCAGTAACAAGTAAAAACCAGAAGGTGCCTGGGCATCGGCTCATGGGACCTTGTGGGATTGGCTGTCAAAAGCCAGACGTCCAGTCCTAGCTCCGGAAGTTTGTTACCAGGTTTTCAGAACCTTGATTACTCCATTTGTAAAATGGGGCTAGTGAAACCATTTACAAACTGTGAAGTAGATCATCCAAGCCAGTGTTCTGTGTGTGTGTGTGTGTGTGTGTGTGTGTGTGTGTGTGTGTGTGTGTATGTGTGTGTGTGTATGTGTGTGTATGTGTGTATGTGTATATATATATGTGTGTGTCTGAGCGTATGTGTATGTGTATGTGTATATGTGTGTGTCTCTCTGTGTGTATGTGTATGTGTGTATGTCTGTGCATATGTATGTGTGTGTGTCTGTGTGTCTGTGTATATATATATATGTGTGTGTGTGTGTGTCTGAGCATATGTGTATGTGTATATGTGTGTGTCTCTCTGTGTGTATGTGTGTATGTCTGTGCATATGTATGTGTGTGTGTGTGTGTATGTGTGTATTGTTCCTGAACCCCCAAAAGCTTTCTGTTCACAAGAGCTTGCTGTTGTCAAGGCACATCTGCTCATCTGAATGTGTACTTTCTTCATCATCTTAGCATGCCTGTGCAGAGAACAGATGTTCTGGTACTAGGAGTCTACAGACCTATCCCTCACCAGCCAGGTGGTCTTTTCTAGTTTTTCTGTAGTTGTGTTTGCAAATGGATATACCCTGGAAAGAGCACTTCACCGGTAGGTCTGGAAGCTACACCCATCATGGAGCCCCTTTCTTTCAATCACGAGGCTCTATCAAGCCCCTCCCACTGGCCCTCCAGAACTAATCAGGGACGCCTCAACTCCCTCCAATCTTGCCTTTTCCATCTTGATTTCAACTTTAATTTTTAATTACCTGCTCTTATGTGTCATTTGAAATGGATTTGCTATGCCAGAGACTCTCCAAATAAATGAGCTTCTAAATTGGTCTTTATGTAATTAGACAAGAACTCAATTATTTCCAACATTCGAGCTATATGAGACTTAGAGAAAAAGATACTTTCAGCATCAATAGTTTAAAAGTCTACTGCTAGGTTATTGCATTAAAACGACAACTTAAAAGATTTTGTTTGAATTATATTGCAATAGCTAGACTCTAACAAGTTTCCATTAAGAGGACGGAGTGACTCCTACCCAAAAAATGCATTGTGTATCTGTTCTTCGTCTTATTAAAAATCAGTGCTTGGTATTTATCATCAATCTCAAGCCGGTAAGATTACAGTTTATTATCACAGATACTGATTAACTAGTCATTTCTCTACATAAAAAGCCATGATGTGTTCGCTGGAAATTCTCCGTATTCAGCTTATTTTTAGCTCTTTTTTTTTCTTATTAAGCAGTGCTAAGCACAAGATTTTTATCTTTTTTTTTCCAAAAGATGAGTGTAATTACGACCTTATTTCATAAATTTTAAAATGCATTTGATTCATCATTTACCTATTTGTGAATTTTAATCCATTTCTTCAGTGTTGCTTCATTTCTATGCAAATAACATGATTTACATTCGTCGGGGCCATGAATTAAGTGCTCCTGGTGATTTCCATATCGTTGTTATAATTATAGACACACTCTCCCCTTCATTGTCATTGTGTGTCACATGTCGTCACAGCCCCCTGATCCGCAGAGGAGAGCTTCGTGATGCTTAGATATGAGACCTAGATCAAGGCACCTCATTGTGATGTTCCAGTGAAGGGAGGCAAGGCCAGGGGCTTTAGCGCCAATCTCAGAACTCCACAAAGCAGCCATGTAAATGCCATCTTGATGGCTACAGGTCCAGCAGGGCTGTCTGTAAAAGTAATGTTGCTTTTGCTTACAGGCCCCTTCTCCCCTCTTCCTGCTCTGCGAGTTGGTCTCTCAGAGCCCACGCTTCCCACTCCAGCACACTCGTTTTTTTCTCTGCTCTTACCCATGAAGTTTCTCTGAGAACCACTCAAGTGTCTGTTTGCTCATCCGTTCATTTGGTCACTCAGTAAGTGTTTACCAAGCTCCAACCAGGTACCAGACCTAGGCTATGATCAGACAGATGGAAATCCCGTCCTTATTAAGAGACATTCCAGCGAGACGCCCTCGCCCCTGGGTAGAGCCTAGAAAGGGGGTGTTCCATCTCACTAACCGGAACGCCCTCATTCTTCAACCCTGTACCACCTTCTCCCATATGTCTTTATCGTCTTTGTAGATTCACTAGCCTCTCCAGTTCTGGAGGCAATTATTTTCTCTCCTCCTTCTCTGTTTTCATTTTTGACTGTCATGCTGGTATGGAATCTACTCTGTACTAATAGGCTGTTCACTTTTCAGCTTATATAGAATTCCATTGTGGTTATTCTAATTGTCATAACAACCCCGGAAAACAGTCATTATCGTCTGCATTTCAGAGAGGAGGTAACAGGAGCCTCTCCATCCATTTTTCTTTCCTGCATAAACTCTGTGAGCATCAGTTGTTGTGGGCCGCAGGCCTAGCTCAGGGGCAGGTATTTGGCAGGGGGAGTTCATATTGACAAATAAAGACATGATGCATGGAGTTCATCAGGTTACCCTACAAATGAATACGAAACTCCTGAGAAGGTTAATGAGGAAAAACTCATGGTCACAGTAGGATTACATAATAGAGGCACAACCAGGTAAAACCTAGGAGGGACTCTTCTGAGGTCTGAAAATAGGAGTCAAGAAGTGATGGTGGCTGACGGCGACAGACACTTGGGGAGTGACCCACATAGAGGAACCCATGTGGGCAAGGGCTTGAACCTGAGCCATCTGATTCTCTGAGCCGTAGGTCTTTCTTTCATTGCTCTGACAATGCTATGCTCTTATGATGTCTTTCCTTTTGCTGGATTATAAACTTTATGAAGAGAGAGGTCGGGGCTTACTTTTCCTCCTTTATAGTACCTGTGGCATACGGCCACAGCAGGTGCCCAGTACTTTATTAAATTAAATAAATGGGATTGAATCGATAATAAGTAATCTTATGGTTCCCACTCATATTTTGGTTCTAGATACAAAAGTAAAAAGCTGTGTGGGAAGGCAGGAGGGTACAGCATCTTGGTTCCCTCTCCTGAGACCCAGTCTCCATTTCACTAGACATCCAGCCTGAAAGAGACAGAGCTGGCCTCTGAGGAATGACCAAATGTTGACAAACAGCTTTGAGGCCTTATTCTTGGGAACACAGGGCCATCAGCAGGACTGGTTTCTGGTGGGGCCTTGTCACATCCTCACCTCCTCATCTAGCCTTTTCTGTTTATTTACACTTCTGCTTTCTTTCCCTTATCACATATGACATCATGCTTACCAGAGTCGTGTGCCACCTGGAGTCGTGTGCCACCTCTGACCTCAGTTAACCTTAGTCACCTCCTCCAGGTCCATCTCCAAATAGACTGGAAACTAGGGTTTCAGCATGTGAATTTGGTGTGTGTGACTTATTTCATAACTTGAAGGTACTTAACCCTTTCCTCACTGCCTCTGCAGGACAGTGAGGCCTCCACAGTTTCTTCCTCCTTGTGTAGACTAAGCAGGGTGGTGCGTGTCTTTGGAGTGCTAGCGAGGAGCCTGATGGCAGCAGACATGCCCATGAGCTAACTCTTGGTGCCTGTCACTCCAGAGACTGCGGAGGATTAGTTAGTTTACCCAAGACTCGCTGTCCACTCTGAAAACAACAAACAAGCCCAAACTCCCAGTCAAAACCCCAAAGACATGTTGGGCTGTTCTGGGTCTCCTTCCCCCTCTCCTCTTCCCCCTCTCCCCCTCCCCCTCCTCCTCCCTTTCCCCTTTCCTCCTCTTCCTCCCCTCTTCTCCTCCTCCCCCCTCCTCCTTTTCCTCCTTCCCCTTCTCCTCCCCCTCTCTTCCTCTTCCTCCCCGCTCCTTCTCCTCCTCCCCTTTCCTTTCACACAGACCCCTCTGTCACATAACTTGGTGCTTTGTTCCTCCTCCTACGTTTTGGTCAATGTGTCCTGGCAGACCTGAGACACTGGCCAGTCTTGATTCCTCCAATACACAGGGCATTCTCCATACACTTTCTGACCAAAACCAAAATTCCAGCTAATGCCAACTCTTTGAGCTAAGCATCATTGGAAGATGAGGTGAGTCTATCATAAACACCCACGCGGTAGAGGTCACTATTTTACACTGTACTGAACTCACCTCTAAGAAAAGTCCTCCACTTTTAATGTCTCTTTGGACCATTAGATCAGATTACTTTTGATCTTAAGGCAAGCTCAGAAGCCCATTTTGTGTGTGGGGGCCGAACTCTTACGCCACAGATGTCATAGGACTGGCCAAAACTGGAGAGCAATTATATTGCTTTTAAACTCCAAGAGTTGAAGTGGTTTTAGGAAAAGTTTGGAGTATGATAAGCAACAGACTTCACTTCATATATTTACTTATCAAAGTTAAACTGGTATTTCCTGGTTCAAAAGGATGCGTTTACAGGAATTAAAAAAAAAAAAAAATGCTGCTTCTTCGATTTGTCCGCCCAGGTGAAACACACGTCTTCTCTGTACTTTCAACTTCTGGGAGTCATTCTTGAGTGGTTTGTAAATCTGCTCTTTGAGGTTCAAGGATTGATCAGGTTAGTTCTTTTGTTGCAAAGACGTAAACCTGTTTAACGAGACCAAGGTATCGAAAGTTCAGACCTTCTAGACCAGTGGCTCTCAGCCTTCCTAACGCTGCCACCCTTGAATCCACTTCCTCATGTTGATAGGTGGACAGCGAAGGGCACAGGGGGGCAAGGATCTTGAGTACGCTGACAATGTAGAGGAAAGCTCACTCAGAGAAATCAGGATGGTTACCAAGATGTGAACCTTTGAGCCAAACCTTGAGGAATGGTTAGGCTCTAGCTGTGTGACTACCAAGGAGAGGAGTGAGGGAGTGTGCTCCTGACCCAGGGAAGAGCAGGAAAGAGGAGTTTTCTCTTCACGATAACAAATACACCAAACCCAGTACAACTACTGCAGCTTCTTCTTGTTACCTCTTGCATAATTCAATTAACTCAGGTATCTTCAAGGCAAGTGTGTGTGTGTGTGTGTGTGTGTGTGTGTGTGTGTGTGTGTGTGTGTGTGTGTGGTGGTGAGGATGAACCTCAGCTCTAATCTACATTCCCAGTCGTTAACTTTCTGGGTTAGACTTCCATCATCATCACTCTTAGCCCCCAAGGTTTATCAGACATCAAGTGGGTGCCTATTTATCTTTCAGATAGCAGTTGCTCTTAGGATCACACCAGTCTCCAAGGGAGCTATGTGATACCCGTTCCCCAAGCTTGTATACCTACTTTCATTCTATGAGGAATACATCAGTCAACTGCAAAGGAAATGATCTCATTTGGGGTCATGCTGTAAGGGCGCTTCTTCAATCCCACCCGTCTTAATAGGTCAGTTACCTCTGTGCACACTTAATGCATGAGGTCAGTGTTCTTCAGCTTTTCACTGTACTCTCACTGAGCAGGGTCTCAGAACACCCCACCAAGGCCAGCTTACAGTCAGGAAACCTTGTTTGTTACTTCAGTGTGATCTAGGAGAAATATGAGAGTGGAGAACCTTCCAAAGCCACTGTGTTGATGGTTTAGAAATTGTTTTGTTTTCTCTTGAAAGGGGTGTGTCGGTGAGACTGTTCAAGGACAAGTGGATTTTGAGTTCAGTCTTGAAACATAGGGGTGGTTCCATTCATTAGATTTCCTCATGCTCACAGGAACATACAGTCCCTTGAAATACATGAGGTTTGTTTTCTTCACTGAAATTGCCAGCTGGACTAAAAGGTCATGGCAAACTCTCTCTCTCTCTCATCTGAGAATGTGACTCTTCCTGTCTGGCTTTGGTCTTTGTGTTAGTGCCTTGGATTTTTTGTTAAGATTCCTCAATAAATGACCACAAATCTTTGTCTCTCAAGACCCAATGGTATGCCACCTTTTAATGATATACATTTCCATCTAGAATGTTCATTAGCTTTATAACTCACAACAATATACGAAATGATATTTTGCAGGATGAATTTTAGCCTGATGACTTCTCTTAACTTCCTGGGGGTTTTGATGTCTATTCCCTAGGATGAATTCAAAATTTATTCTTGGAAAAAGGTAATGTGGATCTCCTTGTCAGCACTGAGCAGAACGTCTGGTCTCACTCCTGACCACCCTCTCATTACAGATGAGGAATACATCATAAACAGAGCCATACGAAAGTCAGATCTAAAGGTAAGTAAACGTACAGTCTCTGAGATGCCAGAGAATTAAGGAATTGTTTATTTCATGTGTGTGAGTGTTTGCTTGCATGTACATATGTGTGTAATGTGTGTGCAGATGGAATACAAAAGTGGCAGTTGAATATCTTAGAATTGGAGTTACAGATAATTGTGAGTGCTGATGTGGGCCCTAGGAATAGAACCCAGGTCTTCTGCGGGAGGTACTCACTACAGGCTACTCTTAAAGCATCATTCCTATTTTATAATGTGTGTAACAAGGCTAGTGAAGGTAATCCTTGATGGATATACTAAGGAATTTGCTTATTTCTGCAGAAGACCTCAGTTTGAACCGTGCTCTCCAAATGTGTTGGGGTTGCTCCTCTTTGTCTCGTTAAATGAGGACTGCCTGGGCTCTGACTAGTTAACACTCATATTAAAACGTACTTTTATGAGGCAGAATGTTTTCTTTTGCAGTTATACCCATACAGATAGCTGTTTAAATTAGCCTTTGAAACTAAGGTCGAGGTTTTGAAATGAAAACAGTCAGTTGCTGAGTACCTCTCTACTGTCAATTGTCATCAGCCAGCTGTCTTGAACTGCCAACATAAACATACGCAAGATGTCGGTCTCCTCCGGGGAGCAGTGCCTCATCTGTGAGGTGGCTTTTCAGCTGAGAATGAGGCTTCCCAGGTCAGCCTTGTACGTGGCCGCAGGGCTTTTACTGCCCTGAAATATTAGCACCTTTAATAGTCCATAAGGCAAATGAAGAAATCCCCAAATAAACAGAATTCAAGTAAGGGCAGAGGTCCCGAAACGGAAAGTTTTGATATCCAGTCTTGATGTCTTTATCATATTGGTATATAGGAGGTTTGCTAGCTACTTCCTTCTTGAGTCTTAAGTTTCCAATTTAGAAAATGAAAGTCATAATTCTCTTTCTGCCTTTTTATCGAGGCTGCTATGAACCTCACATACAGAGTCAAATATTAAGGCGATCTGTGGACTATAACAACCAATATTCATAATAAAGTTGGAAACTTCCATTAGTGTTAGAGTGTTAGGTGCAGCCATGGTGACATTGGTGACAGTGGAAAGAGCATCCGAAGGTGACAGTCATTTAGGGTCTTCAAAAAAAAAAAATGGAGACAGGTTTTCAAACATTGATGAAGAGGAGGCCTGGAGGACTACGTTGTAGGACTGCTAGCAAAAGGAAGACACTCTTCTGTATGTTCCAAAGAAGGGAAGAGCCAGTAGGTGGGGGAGCTAACTATTCTGACTCCTGAGCAGGAACCTGAAAGTCACCCACAGCAGATGCCCCATGGCCTAGCTTCTCCTGGGGTGAAGTTCCAGAAAATGGGCAAATAAGGAAACTCACCTGCCAAAGCCATGCCTACTGTCCTTTGCCAGCTTCTGGAAATTCTGAGGGTGACAAAAGAGATAAAGTCCAGGCAGAGAAGCTGCTGGTGGGACAGTCTCCAAGACGCTTCAAAGGTCCATCGTCAACTTTCAGAAATTGTCCAAAGATAGCCGACCATTCCATTTTACAGCCTGAGGTTAAACTTACCAGTCACTTCTTCATTTCCCTTTCTACAGGCTTGGTTGGTGGGTATTTTGTATCTATTATGTTGTCTGTTTTCCAGTCTGGTTTGATGTGAACCCAGTGTGTGTCGGGGGCTCCTCCTACCCACAGTTTGTCCCTTAAAACGTTTCCAACACAGATCAAATTTGTAGAATTAAAAACATAGGCAACCCTCACTTTGAGCACTTTGAATCCTAAAGTCATGGGACTTTCAGATTTACTCTGAGGCTGGCTTGAATCATATCCTATGAGGACAGAGCCTGAAATGCCGGAGCCAAGATTCCAGCCCCTAGAGTGGCATAATCAAAACCATTGTCAGGAGCAAAGCAAAGGTGATAGTAACACCTGTCCTTCTCCAGGAAGGTGAGGAGGACTGAAGATATTGTGTGATGAGCACTAAGTAGAACCACAGGGGACCTTCAAAGGGAATTTAAATTGTGAAGGAAGAAACTGGAGGTTCCAGACTGGGCTGTGTGGGCTAACAAGCCCCAGGACTGGTTACTTTCAAATGTTCTTTGCTCCCTGTGTTTGACAGCTTATGGAGGACGGATTTTTCCCAGTGGCAATTTGCTCCAATTTCGTATGGAAAATCAATTGGAAATAGACATGTTTTCAAATAGTTTCTTTTGTAACGAACCTCATTGGAATTTTTACAAATTATAACATTTAGCACTTTTGCTTGACTTCCAATGAGAGAGAGAGAGAGAGAGAGAGAGAGAGAGAGAGAGAGAGAGAGAGAGAGAGAGAGAGAGAGAGAAAGCTATACGATCATTGTATAGAATTACGATTCAGTAAGGCTTTGGAACTTAGAGATTTAAACTGTATTTTCTAGTTGACATGTGCTTTTACATAACAGTCATTTATTTTACAAAAATGCATTGAATACTTTTATTATCCACCAGTTAGAGGCTCTCCCCAGCTTTAAAATATACCTGATGGTTGACTATAACATTCATAAAAGTAGAATACACAGAAAGGAGCTGAATGGAACTTAGACCTAATCTGGTCAAATGCTTCAGTTTATTCCTGGGGAAACTGAGGCACAGGGAAAGTTAGTTGACATTCTCAAGGACACAAAGAGAGGCACAGCCAAACAGGAAGCCTCAAATGGTGTACCTCAATTTTGGCCACACATTAGAATTACCTGGGGAAATTGAAAAAATTTATGCTCAAAGCACACTGCGGACAGATTAAATCTTGGTCACGGAACCCAAACAACAATATTCTTTAAAGCTCTCTAGATGCCTCTAGCAAGTACCCTGGGGTGATAACCATTGCTCCACAGCAAACCAGGAGCCCCACAGTTTCTCTTTGTGCTTACTGAGGTCGCCAGTTCTTGGAATTTGTGTCACATAAAAAAATTGCTTAAGGGAATCAGAATAATGGTCACAAGGAGGCACCTCTTTTCCTTCCCTCTGCCGACACCCTCGGAGCCCTACTCCCCAGAGTACACTTGGCTGGCACAAGGTCTTTTCTCTCCTTGTAGCCACCTTGCTCTCCTTCATCAAGTCTTCCGTAGGCTGCTCTACAAACCCATCGCCTGCGAGGCAAGGATGTCTCTGACTTATTCTAGCATCTGGACTGCTCATCATGTAGCCTTAGTTTATCTCCCTGACCTTACCCTTCATTCTGCAGTCGAACAGGCCTTTTCTCTTGCCTCTTGCCTTTCGACTAACTGGCATGTGGTCTCGCTGACTTACTCTCTTCAGTCTTCATCGGACCAAAATTCTTCCCACCCTTTAACATTGCAGTTCTGATGTTGTCTCTTCCATGATGCCTTCAGCCATCTGTCTTTTCTGTATTTCTGCAGTGTTTTAAGGCAGCATTTTTTACGTCATTATATATACATATATATATATATAATATTATAAATTTATTACATATATTTCTTTGGCGTATCTATTGGACTATGAAACAAACTTCTATTTTGTAATTTTTTTCCTCATTAGTTTGTAAGGCAGTGAAATGTGGAGACTGGGTTTCATTTATTCACATATTTATCAGTATGGTGAAACATGCTGACCAGACGATGACTGCTAATCAAAATGCTGTTTGTGTGGTGGAGGAGAACAAGATGGAAAGTTAGGAAAAGAAAAAATTCTGAGGAGCATCGCTAACTTTGCTTCTTCCAGAAATGTTTCTTAGTCCCCGGGTTGCCGTGCATGCTCCAATCTTCAAACTGTAGAACTCTTGTAATACATTTTTTCTTTTTGTAGGTGAGATACATAAAAGTGCAGAAAATAAGATATGTTTGGAATAATTTAGAAGGACAGTTTCAGAAAATTGGGTAAGTTGCTTCAGCAAGTGTCTCCAAAGAACGCAGGCATTGTCTCACAAACATCACTGCTACTGGATTCTTTTTTATTGTTTTAGCTCCCTGGAAGACTGGCTCAGTTCTGCAAAGATTCATCAAAAGTTTGGACTAGGTCTAACATCAGAAGAACAGGAGATCAGGTACTACATGCACTGTGTCTATACTGGCTCCAAAGGGCTGAGATTGGTTAGCCAGGTAGCCCAGTACATGGTCTTGATTCACTAATAGCAGAAAAGGTGTGTCCCATGCATGACCTCATATATCTTCAGAGCAACCATTTTTTTTTATGGAGTCGGGGGTAGAACAGGTATGACCACCAATCCAACAGAAGAGATATGTAGTGTGAGGCTGAGAGAGATTTCATGGCTTGAACAAGGTCACAAAAATGGAGACAGACACACACACACATACACACACACACACACACACACACACACACACACACACACACACACACACACACCATTGCATGTGCACGCACAGGCACACACAGTGGGGGGAACTGACTGAGCTCCACATAATAGCATGTATAGTGATTTGGATCAATGTCATGCAAGGTGTGTATGGAGCTCCACAATCCAAATCAATCACTAGGCACAGAAACAGGGTTTGGAGAGGGCACTTGACTGTCCAGAACCTGTGCCTTTGAGCAAATAGCTTTTCCATTTGGGTCTTAATCCCCTTGTCATAAATAAGGAAAGGACTGCAGAGATGGTTTGGCCACCAAGGGCACTGCACTTAATTGCTCTTCCAGATTACCCGAGTTTGGCTCTGAGCATTCAGTTCAGGCTCCTCACAGCCACAGGTAACCTCATTTCCAGGGGATGCAATGCCCTCTTTTGGCCTCCATAGGCACTTACACACACACACACACACACACACACACACACACACACACACACACACACACAAAATCTTAAAAGTGGAGTATAGAGACCTATTCCTGGTTTTTGGAAGAGATGGAGCTCATTGCAGCCTCATTTTTTTTCCTGCATGCTTATAAGCAATGCAGAAATTGCAGTAGGTCCCTTACCCCTACTGAAGCAGAGTCTTGTTTTAATGAGATTACCCAAATTATGAGTGTTTACACAAAAAATGGAGGACGATAGCCTATGCATTTTGCAAAGCTGTTTTATCTGAGGGTCTAAATGGGAGGCACAGAGAATGGCTAGTAATCTCCATAAGAAAAGTATTCATAAAGTGCCGTGTCTCTGCATAATCAAAGCAGCACAACTCTGGATTTTCAGTTAGTAGGATGTATAATTCTGCATGTTGAGCTCTTTCTGAGAATCAAGGACTTTTCTGCTCACATTAAAACAAATATTCAGCCTCACAGAACTCCTGAATATGAGCATAAACAATAGGTATGGTATTTCCCCATCACTAAAAATATTCTACCTTCATGATCTCCCCATTCCATTTTCATGGAACAGTGGAGGAGAGAGAGTTGAGAACATATGAGTTCTGAAAGCATTTGAGAGAAAGCAGGTAATATTAGATATCAAAATTACCATTTAGGGAAATATTTAGACTTCAGGGAGTATAGTTCAATGGAAGCAACATAATCTGGTTTACTGCTTTTGCTCCTGGGACCCCCTTACACTCTTCAGTTACTTTGAGACACATGGGTGCACTATGAAACAAGAAATACTTCGATTGACCTGGAAAATGAGAAAAGGAATATAGAATAGACCTTTTCTCTAAATGTGCGGGGGCAAGGGGGTGAGATTTCTTTCATTGCTGTGACCGAGTAAATTGTGGTCTCTTCCTGCAGGAGGTTAATATGTGGACCTAATGCTATTGATGTTGAAGTCACACCTATCTGGAAACTACTCATCAAGGAGGTAATTTCTCCAGGACTTTGCCTGGGCATTGGGGAGAAAGTGATGAATCTTTGCTCTGGCCCAGTGGGGATCCAACTTGTTAATAAGTGACTACAATTTATGAGCTTCTTTAAGAGAATGCCAACCCTGCTTTCTGGATACGCCGTGTGCTCTTTTCCTTCAAGCTCTTTGGACACACTGTACTTCACAAGGCGGGCTGTGACTCTCATGTGTCCACTTCTTATTTGAAGACTCAGATGAATGTTGGGCTTTCCCCTTTCTTGAAACACTATGCTGCTTATCCCATTTCCATTCCATGAAACTAAAATCACATTTATTTTAGGAAAAAAAGTTTTCTTAGACAACATATGCAATTACCTCATCATTCAAAACTTTAGGGAGGAAACCATATTTGTTTAGCCTCTCTGAGGTCTTCTGATCTCAATGTGTGCGAGAAGGAAAGAATGGCTTAACCATCACTTAGTAAGATAAAAATGTTCTCTTGTGCTTTTATTGTGGGATTTATTATTTTGAAACCATATAGCAGTCCTCTGTGTCTTTCTGATATTCCATCTCCGTTCATCTTTGCCTTAAAAAGGCTTCCTAAATTCGATATACTTTCTCGATACTTCTAAACACGTTTGAGAATGACAGAAGACCAAGCAAATTGGTTGAGAAAGGTTCTGTGGGCTGCCTCCCTTGCCCGAAGCCAGGATTCCTGTTCCTGTGAGCAACTACAGCGAAGCTGAGGAAAGGCACAACATATTTTTAAGTCAAGCAGGACTACAACCATTGATGCCGATGTCTGTTCCCTCCCAGTGAACTAGATGTGTGGCTACAGCATGCCATGTCAGCTTCTCTCCCCACTTATGGAAAAATGCAGCCTTGCTTTCCATTAACCCATCAATGAAAAGTTCTTTAATGCCATTATATGTGGCAGCTGTTTTGTCAAAGAGTGGACAACAGACAAAGTAGTTTAATTCTGTAAACCCAAGTGTGTCACCTTTCTGAAGTCCAGGGAGTATAAATGGGGGACGATAACATCTACTCTTCATCGATTACTCTGAGGCTTAGCACAATGACATGCGAAGCACAACTTTGCAGATTGCTAAGTGTAGCTGTGATTAAAATAAGTGCTCCAGGGTCAGAATGCTTTAAGGATTTAGATTTTTGGCTCCATGACAGTCATAACTGTGTGACCTTGAGCAAATTTCTCAAGATCTGAGGCTCCATGTCCTTATCTTCATAATAGAGATAAGTAATAACTTCTGGTTAATGAGGTAATTGTGGGAAAGAAATGAAAAGATTCAGGTGATGTGGCTCAGCACATTGTGTAGCACACAGAAACTGCTGATTACATAGAACAAGAAGAACAGCATATTGCGTGGGGTGATTTAGGCCACAGTGCTGATTAGGAAAACAAGCCAATGAACAGCCATGTGTGAAGCCCAAATGCCATTCTTGTCTTCCTGTCTTTATGTCTGCTAACAGGTTCTAAATCCATTTTACATCTTTCAACTCTTCAGTGTCTGTCTGTGGTTCAGTGAAGATTACAAAGAGTATGCTCTGGCCATCATCCTCATGTCTGTCATTTCCATAGCTCTGACCGTGTATGATCTCAGACAGGTGAGTTCCCCTGGGTCCTGCGCTTGACTTCCCTGGCTTGCTCTTAGACGAGAATCTTGAAATAGTGTGGCCCCATTTGTGTGAAACAAGACCATGTTCATGAAAACACAGCAGAACTGCCGCTGTCCAAAGGGCGACAGGAAGGGAACTTCCTGTACATCCCAGTCCTTGGGAAGATGGAGGAACCTGTGTTAATATGAAGTCCTTGATCTTTTTGTTTGTTTGGTGTTCATCTACCCAAGTTCTAGTTCACCACTTCAGTTTCCTTATACTTATAGCAGGGGGTCTAGGGACTGTTGGAAGAAAACCATGTGGAACAGATATGAGTTGATCATTTATGAATCCATAAGTACCAACCTCTTCCTGGCAAATCTTCTATACACCTCTCATCGAAGTGTTCTCCCACGCTATGAGAACACTTTTCAAACTGTCCCTTTTCAAGATGCTTGTCTTTTCATCTTTGCTTTCTCAGAAAACAATCTCAGAAGTTATTTCACAAAGCTGATGGAAGCCTAGTATGAAATTTGCTCAACTCCCTACTACCTTTTGCCAAATGCCCCATTCTCTTCAGCCCCGGCTTCCCTTTTCTCTCATCACAGTGGAGGACATGCCTAAGAGATCATCATCTGTCTGTGCCCCAGACACCTGCTCTTACCTTTTTGGGGGTGTTCATGCAATCCACAGATGACTCTTCCTTCTGCACCTTCCCAAGAGTTTATCCGTGTTTAACATTCTCCAGCGCTGTCAGACTTAAACACAGAACTCCAACAAAGGACCATTTTCTCTGTACTCTTCACCCATCTTCAGTTACCGATGTAGCTTCCTTCTTCCTTTGAATAAAAATCTTGGCTCTTTATGGACACGCTCATGATCTGAACACCTTTCTTTCACTCTTTACTTGCTGACATGATTTCTCCTTTCATGCCTCCAACTAAACAACTTTTGTTAAGGGCACCAATGCAATCCTAAAGCCTATAGGTAATTTGAAATGAAATTTAAAAATGCATTTAAACTTAGGTAGTAATTTCCTCTTGTACAAGGAACAATACATGGGTATGTTAAAAAAAATTAAGGCAGAGTAACACAGTAAATGAAAATAGGATCCCTTTCCACGGAAAGAATCATCAGTGTCCAAGCTGGACTTTTAGGATTTACTGGGGCCAGATGTTCTTTACACTTCAGCAATATTTTACACACACACACACACACACACACACACACACACACACTCATCTGTTTTTCAGAATGAAAGTATGTCACGTGCACTATTTTGCAGTTGCATTTTAATTGAATATATCTTTAATATTGTTCCATATTGACACATACTTTCTTCAGAACTGATGTAGTTTTATAACTGTGTGCTGACTATTTTGGTTACTGATAGAGTCTTTGGTGGTTTTTAGTTTTCTGCTACTAACGCAAAGCTGCAGTGAGAGTCTTTTTTTTTTTTTTTTTTTGGTTTTTTGAGACAGGGTTTCTCTGTGTAGCTTTGCACCTTTCCTGGAACTCGCTTTGGAGACCAGGCTGGCCTCGAACTCACAGAGATCCACCTGGCTCTGCCTCCCGAGTGCTGGGATTAAAGGCGTGCGCCACCACCGCCCGGCGAGAGTCTTTTTTTAATTTTTTAATTTAATTTAATTTTACATATCAGCCATGGATTCCCCTGTTTTCTCCCCCGGCCCCCCCCCCCCCCCCCCCCCCCCCCGTCTTCCCCCCCAGCCCACTCCTCATTCCTATCTCCTCCAGGGCAAAGACTCCCCTGAGGATTGAGTTCAACTTGGTAGATTCAGTCCAGGCAGGTCCAGTCCCCTCCTCCCAGGCTGAGCCAAGTGTCCCTGCATAAGCCCCAGGTTTCAAACAGCCAGCTCATGCACTGAGGACAGGTCCCGGTCCCCCTGCCTGGGTGCCTCCCAAACAGTTCAAGCTAATCAGCTGTCTCACTTATCCAGAGGGCCTGATCCAGTTGGGGGCTCCTCAGCTATTGGTTCATAGTTCATGTGTTTCCATTCATTTGGCTATTTGTCCCTGTGCCTTTTCCAATCTTGGTCTCAACAATTCTTGCTCATACAATCCCTCCTCTTTCTCGCCACATCTGTAGTGACTTATATTACATAGAAAAGTGTGTGTATAGCTTATTGTTTGTAATTATATTTATCTATTTGACTATATGGCTAAAGTATGAAAATATATTTAAATATACATTTTTAATATATATCTTTAAGTAAATTTATGGACAATAAGAGTCATATTTCTGTTGTTTTCCATTCTATCTTGTTTCTTAACGTAGCCTTAGGAATATAAAAGGCTGCTTAATAAATGTTGGTTGAGTGAATGCCCACATGAATGAAAGGATGACTTAGTAGTGTAACACTCTTTGGCCTTATCCTACTGTACTAAATATTTTTAGGGCATATTTATCAGATTAAAAATAATTCAGAGAGTGTCTTTTAAAAATTTCCCATATATGTGTGATTTTGGTCATTGTAATTTCTCTCCCCTATTGCCTTCTCTCATTCTTCCCCCATCCCACTGAAACCCTTCCTCCAACAAGGCCCTCTTCTACTTTGATGGTGTGTGTGACCCACTGACTTCACTTAGGGTTGTCTACATAAGCATGGATTAGGAGTTATTTTCTGGAGAAGGTCAACTTGCCAGTGACTATTTCAGTGAAGAAAACTATACTCTCTCTCCCAGCACACCATTAACTCCCCATAATCCTCCTGGGAGAGGTGGAGCCTTGTGAGTCTGTCCTCTTAGGGAGTGTCTCAAATAATAATAGTAGGATGAAAAATGAAAACCTGAAATGATTGGAAAACATAACCAGTCAGAAGGTCATTCACACAATGCTTTCTTATTAAATGTGGAATAAAACATTTATTTATTTTTGTCTCTTGATTCACTCTCAATGTAGTTCATTTATCACACACACACAAAAAAAAACACCAGTGGGAAGACTCTGTTCCTACCCAGCCCTCCCATGTTTATAGAGGGCTAGCTCCATACTGAGCAATACCTGGGGTCTATACTTACACAGATAAATGTTGTCTGTTTTCCTTCTCTCTACAGCAGTCCGTAAAACTGCACCATCTTGTTGAATCACATAATAGCATCACAGTCTCTGTATGTGAGAGAAAAGGTAAGCTACACTATTTTATACCTACATGTTATATCCACAGACAATCAGAAAGTGACTTGGTTTCTGTTTTCTGATTGTTCCCACCAACTCACCTGCATGTACATTGTTCTTATACATCTGCTTATAAGAAAGAGGAATCTGAGATCTTTTCACCATAAGAAGGAAACCCATTTCATAGAGGTTGAATTTGCATGGCAAACCAAATATATCTGTAAGGTACACAATTAAGTGGATTTTGACATATGTGTATACTCACAAAAGTATGGACATCATCAAGCAGACAGGACTACTTGTCGCCTACAGTTGTCTTGAGTCCATTTGTCCTTCCTCTCCCTTTGCCTCCCTCATACACAGTAGTCATTTATCTGCATTCTGTTGCTATAGGTTAACATCCCTATTTAGAATTGTACATAAATGGAATTGTAAACATCCTATTTAGAATGTTACATAAATGTTAACATCCCTATTTAGAATTGTAAATAAATATTACATAAGACGCATTCTTTTGTCTTTTATAATATATTTTGGGTCAGTTTGGCAAGAGGAGAACAAAGTTCACAAAGGTTCATCTGCTTTTGTTAAGAGTACCCATCATACATTCTTTTTTTATTTCCTAAGGTATGCCATTAGATGGGTATACATACATTTGTTTAATTCACCTGTGCATGATATTTGGGTTATCTCACTTTTTTTTGTTACAAACCACAGTGCTGTGAACAGTCAGGTGTGGGTCCTTTCATAGACATACTCTATCATCCCTGTGTGTACCTAGTTACAGAGCAGCTAACCCTGGGGTAGATGTTCAACATTTTAAGAAGCTAATGAATTGTTTTCCAAAATGATTGTAGCATTTCCCTCCATTCCTACCTGCTGTGTATGACAGTCTCAGTTCCACATTCTTGCCCCCACTCAATGTGGCCAATCTATGTAATTTTAGCCACTTTAAATTATGGAATAAAATAAAGTATCTTATTACTTTAATTTGCATTTCTCCAATGGCTAATGGCCCTGAAGATCTTTTCAAGGGCTTATTTGTGACTCACATGCCTTTTTTGAAGTATCCATTTGTGTCTTTTGTTAAGCAGATTGTCATATTATTAAATGTTATCAGACATCTCCTCTCAGTCTATGATATATCTTATCATTTTCTTCACAGCATCTTTTAAAGGGCAAATGCTTTTACATTTTAAAGTCCAGCTAATGAGCCTTTTCCTTTAAGGATTACACTTCTAGTCTAATTTCTAAGGCATCTTTGCAAATTTTAAGGTCACTGAGCTTCTCTATATAGTTTTAAGCTTAAGTTCTACATTGTGTTTTCACCATCTGCTTTGAGTCTGTTTTAGACTGAAGTTCACTTTTCTCCATCATGTATTTAAGTACTCTGATGTCGTTTGTTTAAGAAGATTGATTCTGCACTAGCATGTTGCTTATAAATCTTTGATAAGTGCCTGCTGTCTATGAAGGTGGACCACTTTGTGAACTCCATGTTTTGTTTTTTCACTGTCCTGCCAGGGTCACACAATGTCATTGATAATATGGTCTGAATAAGTCATGTTAGTGCTTCAGTTGAATTCTCTTTCAGTGCTACTTTGGTGTATCATGCCTCCCTCCGGGGTTAATATGGATTGTTAATTTGGAATGGTCTAGAATCACCACGGAGATGAACTTCTGGATGCACCTATGAGTAATTATGAAGATCAAGCTAGCCTCTCAGCCCGCCTGTGGACAATTATCTTTATTAGGCTAACTGGGGTGAGATGACTCACTTGGACAGTGGGTGGCATGACTCTGAGGCCCCAGACTGAGTGTAAAGGAGAAAACACACTGGACACTAGTATTCCGCTTCTTTCTCCTTCTGACTAGATGCAATGTGGCCAGCTGTCTCAAGCTGCCAGACTTCTTTCATGGTTGGACTGTATTCTCTCAACCTGTAAGCTGAAATAAATCCTCCCCCTTTGAGTTGTTTATCACAACAAGGAGAAAAGTAAATAATACAGCAAATTAGCACTGCAAGGTGATGTTGCTCTGATAACATGACCATGTGGGTCTTAGGCCTTTGTGATTATTTGTGCCTACAATATGGAAGAGTCTGGTACTTTTAGGGAGAAAAGTCCTAGTGTGTTAGAAACAGAGCTTAATGTGCCATTCTGATGGAAACCTAGAAGACAAGAAAAGCTGAGAGAAACAGACAGTGGTTGCCTGTGCTCATGAGATTTCAGAGAGGAACTGGAACTCCATTAGAAATTGGGCTGGGGTCATTCATGTTATATTTTGGTTTAGAATCTTGTTTCATTCTGCCCATGTCTGGAGAACTTGAGTAAAGTTGAATTCAAACATAATAGACTAATTGGTTAGGTGGAGGGTATTTATTGACAGTAAAGTATTCATTGCCTGTTTCATGGCTACCCTTTCCTGAACTTATCCAGGTCTACAGTGAAAAGGAGCAGAAATGTGGGCAGAAGGATGTGAAAATGTGCAGTTGGTTGGGGAGGCAGAGAGCTTGACCAAATTGAACTTTGGAGCCACAGTACATACTGAAAAAGAGGCTGTAATTATTAAAGAGAAGTATTTTGTTCTACATTGGTGCAATAAGAAATGTACCCTGGTGGCAAGACCCCAACCATCAAAGGTTGAAACTTGAAATACAAGCTTATTTGAAAAAAGAGAGTTGAAATTGAGGATGCAGCTGACAGGAATCCCTGCTCCTATAAATCAACTGCCTAATTAAAAGTTTCCCATGGTTCATCTGATGGGGAAAGTTGCAGGTGTGGAGTAGAGCTGGCCTGAGAAAGAGGCTGTGTATGCTGTAAGTGATGGAAGTGGAGGAGTGGGGTTACTCGAGCCCTGTGGAGCCCATATGATTACATTATGAGCCCCAGATGCTGCATATGGAGCTGCAGGATTTGATATTTGCTCTGATGCATTTAGATCATGCATTGCTTTAAGCATTCCTTCCTAAGGTCCCATTCTTCTCTTTGGAATTAGAATGTTTATGGCAGTGGTTCCCAACCCGTGGGTCATGACCCATTTGGGATTTGAATGACTTTTTCACAGGGATCACATATCAGATACCCTGAATATCATATATTTACATTAAAAATCATAACAGTAGCAAAATTATAGTTATGAAGTAGCAATGAGATAATTTTATGTTTGGGGGTCACCACAGCATGAGGAACTATATTAAGGGGTCACAGAATTAGGAAGTTTGTGAACCACTGGTTTATGGTGTGACATTAAGTGCTAAAGGTATGCAACTTGTAACTAAAAAATTTGTGTTTTAATGGTTCACAGTTAAGAGTTTGTCTTATGTCTTAGAAAGACTTGAACTTTGGGCTTTCGAATGGTGTTGGAATTATTAAATTGTTAAAGACTTTGGGGACTTTTAGAGACAAACTGGAAGTATATCACATTATGAGCTAAAAAGGAAGCTTCTAAGTGATAAGAGTCGAGTGTTATGATTTAAAATGATGTGTTGGAGTGACAAGTTGATAAGCGATGGTTTGTGATGATTACTATTATTGTCAACTTGACAAGATCTAAAGTCACCCATGCGTCAAGTCTGTAAGGGATTATCTCATTAGTTTAGTCTTTGAGCATGTCCATGAAAGATTATCTTGATTAGGTTAATTGAGGTGTGTTGTCCAACCTTAACCGTGGGTGGCACTGTTCCACAGGCTGGGGTCCTAAGTTGAATAAAAAAGAGCAAGCCAGCTGAACACCAGTATTCATCTCTTTGCTTCCTGACTGTGGATGCACTGTGACCAGCTGTCTCTGGCTCCCACCACCATGAGTTCCTTTTCATGATGAACTGTATTTTCTTGGACTCTAAACTCTTCCTCAAGTTGATTATTGTCAAATATTTTGTTGTAAAAATGAGAAGATATAGTAACAAATACAGACTATTCTTTTCAAAATGACTTGGAAAACAATTTCTTTAATTGTTTATTTCTTTAAACTGTGCTGAGAGTTTGATTGGTGTTGTGTTAAGTCTGTAGTCAATAGTAGAAAATGAACCTATTTACAGCTCTGGATATTTTCTGTGGAGATGTAGATTTCTTTAGGTCTCCTTAGATTTCCCTCTTCGGTAGTTTGCAGTCGTCTGTGTGTGAACCTTACACATTCTTTTTCAGATTTATTCTTAAGTATTTCAGAGTTTCGATGCTATTATAAATATTATCAAAAGTAAATATTTGTTCATTCTCTACTTATTCCAAGCATGCATTTACTGAGAGTGCTCAGCCAGAGTGTTTGGTATCTCATTTTTACCATGTAAGCCTTTGCTCATAGGCATTTTTCCAAAGCATACCTAGTGAAGAGTTTACAATAAAGTATGAGTTCTTTATAACACTTATGACTTGAGTTTAGAACTATAAATGTTTTATTTTACTTTGAGGATTGTACTTGTGTTTCCCCTTTATACTGAAAACTCCAGTCCTCAGTGACAGCCAAGAATGGTTCATTTGTTTTATCCCACTATATACAATCATCTCAAAATAATAAGCTGACATTCTCAGCAATGAAGTAATTCTGAAAAACAGTTTACAATGTTTTGAAGAGTTCCCCACTTCAATTGTGATAGCTCATTAGAAACAGAGCCAAATATACAATTTGATTTAATAAATTATGCTTCAATATCATTCAAAATAGTTCTCTGCATGGTTCTGCCAACAATGTAATAGATTCATTTCACTCATTTGTTTTAGGTTTTTAGCATCAGCTTTTCAAATTTATTTTTATTTTACATAGATACTCTAAAAATATCACCATGTTTTAAAATTTAAATTCATGAGATAGAAGATATTCAGGCTAGTTCCACTTCTTTCTCTCCCCTTTGCCTTGTTTCTTTATCATAACTACTTTTGTTATTTTTAAATTTATTCTTACAATTAGAAATATAAGCAAATTATATAAAAAGCAATAGCTTATATTGTGCATGCAAAATAGATTACATAATTACACTGGTGTGTTTTTATGAACAAAGGTATACCAAATTTAACTATTCTGTACACATCTATGATTCCATGGACCTTTTATAACAGGATATATACACATTCTTCATTCCTTATGATTCGCAGTCCTCTCATGTGGAGGAACCATTATTAATTCAGTCAGTCTGCTATTGAATGTTTTCCTAGTCTTACACCATCATAAGTAACGCTGCAATAAAGAGTTTCTATGTATGGCCCTTCATATTTTCATCAGTGTATCTTTGGTATAGATTTTGAGATGCCAAATTTCTAGATTAGAGAATAAAGCATGCACACTTTTGCTAGGTAAATATTGCCACATTTCATTCAGTAGAGATTGTGCCAGCTTGCATTTAGATTGGCAATGTGAGGGTACCCATTTACTCACCACCGTGCCAACAGAATATGCTGGCAGATTACTTGATTTTCTAATTGGAGGGGTAAGCAATGTTATCTCATGCATATCTGCCTCCCTACTCTTTTCATTCAGAGACATTATAAACAGAGACTGTTTCTATTTTCCAGAATGACTTAAAAACAAGTTCCTGAGATCATAGAGATGACTCAGTTAATACAGCAATTGCTAAGCAACCTTGAGGATGAGGGTCCTGCTCTTCAGAACCCATGTAAAAGCTGGCACATGTGGAAGCCACCTGAATTCCCCATGCTCAGGAAGCAGAGAGAGGGCATCTCTGGGGCCAACTAGCTAGTCAGAATCGTCAGCTCTAGGTTCAGCAAGAGACTCTGCCTCAAAAAAATTGAGTCAAAGGTGATGGAGAATGACACTTGTTGTCAGCCTGGAGCGTACACATGCACAATCACACATTTGCACATGTATCTGCCCACCCACATGAAAACATGCGTACACATGTACGTATACCACACATACACATAGACAAAAGAGAAAAGAAAATAAGTAGTTGACATGTGGCTCCACAATTTCAACAGAGCTCACTGTGCATTCTTTAGAGACCAGGACATTCTCCTGAAGAAACTGCAGTGTCCTCAGGAAGCTAACTGACACATGCTAACATGGTCTGCTCTTTGTCATGTTTTCTCAGTACCGTTCTCTGTAGGAAAGGGATCCAAGATCACACAATGGTGTTATTTGCCATATATCTTCAGTATTTTTCATTTGGTTCTTCTATAACCCATGTTCTCCCATTCTGGGTATTTTATAAATTGTCACTATGTTTGGATTCGGCAAATTACAGATATGATGGTGTGTGTGTGTGTGTGTGTGTGTGTGTGTGTGTGTGTGTGTGTGTGTGTGTGTTCCTTCTTATCAGGATGTACATAATTTAAATTTGTTCTATTACTAATGATGTTAAGTTAGGTTACTTAATTACATAGTGTCTGCCAGTTCTTTTTTTAAAGTATGCTGTTTTTTCCTTTGTAATTAATAGTTATATTGTTGAGAAATATTTTCAGACTATATAAATAGACTATCTCCATCAAATTTTCACCCACTAGTTTTATTATCTACTGATGTTTCCTGACTTAATTATTGCTTTTATACTTGATAAATAAGGATTTTCTAATTTGAACTTCTTAATTATTTAATTGCCATCTTGCTGCAAGGAAAAAATCTATTTTTCTTTTTACATATATACCCACTAACCTATGCCATTATGAATTCATGAAGCCCTACTTACTCAATGGCTTTATTATTCTTTATTCTTTATTATTATTTACTTTGTTAAAATCTTTCCAGATTTAGGCAGCCAGCCCCTTTATGTGGATTTGATATCTTTTTGGTCTGTCTCCATTGTTTGAACATTTTCCTATTTAATGGCACAGTGTGTCTCCAGCTTATAATTTACATTTGCCAGATTGTAATCAGCTTTTTCTTTAAGATATTTTCATGATTTCATTTTGGGGGTGTGGGGCTGTGGTTGAAATTGAGAACTCAATATTTGGGCATGTAGTGTGCTTGTCCTTATTAGGGAATCACTGCCCTTAAGCTTCCTCAGAAGAATATTAGAGAGTATAAATTAACAAACTGACCAGAGTCATATAATGTATAGACATTCCTACATATTTGCACATTACTTTATGATGTCCCCAACTCCAAGTCATAGGGTCTTTTCAAGGCTTATGTCCTTTGTACGTGAACTTTTTTTTTCTTTTTTTTCTCTATGAGAAACCTGGCTCTCACTGACTTCAGTAGATCTGTTTACGATATTGGTTCAGCCTGGGTGTGACCAATCTTCCATCATTGTTGATGCTTCCACTACGCCCAGTCTCACTCCCATGTAAACACCTTCATCACCTGCCCAGACACCCAACATTCCATAGCAGGGTACCACTGCTATGGTTGTATGGTGCCTACCTGGGTTCTGTTGGTCAGAGTCAAGGACACGCACATGACCTTTCATCCCACCTAGACTCCCAACACCGCCAGCAGCCTGCAAGCCATCTTCCCAGCCATGTGTGTAGATACATTTCCTGACGCTGTGATGAAGTACCCTGACAAAAGCACCTTGCAGGAGGAAGGGGTTATTTGGCACACAGTTCCAGGTTGTGGCCTGTGGTGGTTTGCATGAAAATGTACCCCCCTCCCCATAGACCTAGATGTTTGACTACTTGGTCCCCAGTTGGTGGAACTGTTTGAGAAGAATTAGGAGGTGTGGGTGTGGTCTCAGAGGTGTGCTACTGGGGGAGGTCTTTGAGGTTTCAAAGCCTTGTTCCACTCCTAATGTGCTCTCTGCTTCCTGTGTATGGCTGTAGATGTGAGCAAGCTCTTGGTTTGCCGTTCCAGCAATCAGGTCTGCTTGCTGCTGTGCATCCTTACCATGATGGTGAGGGACTTTTATCCCTCTGGAATCATAAGCACCCAATGAAACATTACTTCAATAAGTTGCCTTGCTCATAGTGTTTTTATCACAGCAACAGAAGATTAACTCATACATAGTCTTCATGATAGAGAAGTCAATGTGGAAGGACCATGAAGCAGCCAGTCCCATTGCATCCACAGTCAAGAGCAGAGAGCAGTGAATTAATGTTTGCTAATGCTCAGCTCTCCTTCTCCCCCTCATCTGGTCCAGGCCCCAGCCCATGAAAAGGGTGCCACCCACATTCAAGGTGGGTGTCTTAGTCACTTTTCTCCTGCTGTGGTATAATCACCATGACCAAGGCAACTTAGAGAAGGGAGGGTTTATTTGGGCTTAGACTTCCAGAACGTTAAGAATTTGTCACCGTCGTGGTGGGGACGTAAGGCAGCGGGCAGGCACGGTGACAGGAAGAGCTGAGAACTCCTGTCTCTAACTGCCAACAGAAAGCAACGAGAGTAAACTCAACATGGCCCTGAGTTGTTATTCTCTCAAAACCCCTCCCCATGACATACTTCCCCATCTCAAACAGGGCCACCAACTGGAGACCACACATTCAAATGTTTGAGAAGATGGGGAGCATCTCATGCTAACCACCACAGTGGGTCTTCTCACTCATACTAACCTGTCTGAGGCTAACCTCCCCAGAGATTTCCATAGGCTAACTTAATAGACAGTCCCTTGTTGAGATCGTCTCCCCAGATGATTCCAGATTCTGTTAAGTTGACACTTAAAACTAACCCTCATGGCAGCCTATATGCTCAGCTCCATGACCTTTTTGAGATTGAATAAGGGAAGAAAGAAGTTCGGGCATCCAGGCAGGGAACCAGGAAGGAAGGGAGGGAAGAAGAAGGAATGAATAAAACAAGCAGCCTTTCAAATCTTGAACATGCAACTTGTGCGTGCGTGTGAACTGTTAGTATCTGGCAATTTATCACACAGTTTCTGTACATCTCTTGCCTGAAGATGTCTTTGTATATGAAAAATATTAGTCTTTTGTCTGTAAGCATCAAATATGTTTTCTGAGTCTGTCATTATTTTTCCTTGGCTTTTTCGTCCTTGACACTCTGGGAGCTTTATTCCACGCAGTCTGTTTCCTCCCTTCTTTTTGTCTTCAGAGTTTGAGCTGATGCTGAGGACTAGCCTCTCTTTTTACATGTTTTAGCTGCTTCTCTGAGAATCCACAGCATGGAGCAGTGGGACTGTTGACTGCGGGAACATAACCTGACTGTCCGCTCACACTTTCAGCTGGAGTCCAAGACCTGGAATCCCGCCTCCTGGTGCCTGGAGATTTATTAATTTTGACAGGGAGCAGAGTGCAAATGCCATGTGATGCCATTCTGATTGACGGCAGCTGTGTGGTAGATGAAGGCATGCTGACAGGTACGGCTGGAGCTCCGCATTCATAGCCTCCTCCGGGCTGGCTCAGGGTGTATGTTATCATGGTTCTGGTTGGCTCTTCCCCTACCCGAATGACAGTCTTGCTCACGGCAAGCTATGAGGTTGCTGTGTGACCTTTCTGCGTCTTCAAGTCTTGCTTAGTCTTCCTGTGGTTGTATCTGTGAGTTCAAATCAGGACTGTTTTCTATGCACTCAAGTCAGCGCATTCAGAATTTACTGAATTTGTAGCATTTTCTTCCTCAACGAAAGGTTATGACAACTTCTCGTTTTATCTGAAAAGACTGTGGGGATCATCAGATCTTTCAAAATCATGTCTTTTCTTTAGCATACTTGCATAAAATTCCCCTTATAAACTTGGAAGTTCTGAAAACCATCAATGACATCCTGAAATTCACAAGGCCAAAGCTAAAGGCCTCATAATCCTCACTGAAAATGTTAAAAAGTCCATGGTGCAACCTTGGACAGATCTGTTACTCTCAGAATATACACTATGTGTTTTGCACTGGCTTTATTTTATTTTTAACTTGCATGCTGAGCTGAGGGGTGGACCTTCGAGGTCAACAGCCTACCTCACAGTCTTTGCAACTGAGATTCAGAGGGAAGAGACTCACTCAAGCTTGTATCATGATGATTTTGCACTTGCAAAGCATAGTAATGGCATTTCTGTAAGATGAGGATGTTTTCTTCAGGGATGAAACTGGGACCAGTTTAAGCATTTATAATGTCGTGTGGTTCCCATTCAAGTCCATAGCAATCCCTTTGGTTCCAAGCTGGCCCGAAAGGTATGAACAGAGACAAGAACGTTCATCTCTCTTCTGTATGAGCTTAAAGATAAAGTGGGTGGCATCAAGGCAGATTAGGTTTATTTCCCAAGTATCCACTGACTCATAGAAGCCCATCAATGCTGGGACCTTCCTAATGCCCAGGACTATTTCTTAATGATGATAGCTCCACGCTGACTTTTTACTACTTGCTCTGCAAAGACCAGTTGGAGGCTCTGAAGGCTTCTTCCTCAGAACTGTCCTTGGTTGCTTCCGCAGCTTCAGATTTACCTTGTATTAGTACTCAGTTCTCTGAAGTGTGTTCCTCCCACCACACTGGCACAAGTTGCCAAAGTCACAAGTGCCATGTCCAGTGATTTTGCTCCATCTTGTTGACTGTTCAGTCTCATTTGGCTATTCTGACTCTCTCTCTCCCAAACTCTCCTCTTCCTGACTTTTTCTAACATCCTGCTCTTTCTAGGTGCTTCTAGCACTGACCACGCCCATTCAGTTTGTTCTTTATCTTCTCTTTCTCTGTCTCCTTAAGTGCTGGCACTGTTCAGGGCTGTATTCTTGTCCTTTTCTCCTTTCACCCTTTGCTTAATTCTTAAATAAACTCTCTCTCTCTCTCTCTCTCTCTCTCTCTCTCTCTCTCTCTCTCTCTCTCTCTCTCCCTCTCTCTCCCTCTCTCTCCCTCTCCTCTTCTCTCCTCTCTCTGAAGCTTTACTTACCATGTCCAAACTGGTGAGCTCTGACTAAAAGTTCTGAGTGCCAGATCCAAATAACTATCAACCACACACAAAGCTTTTCAACATGGTTCTTTTACAAGTAGCTGCAGTCCACAGTGGCCCACAGTCAATTTCTGGTCTTCTTAGAATCTTTTTTTTTTTTTCGAGACAGGGTTTCTCTGTGTAGCTTTGCGCCTTTCCTGGGACTCACTTCGTAGCCCAGGCTGGCCTCGAACTCACAGAGATCCGCCTGGCTCTGCCTCCCGAGTGCTGGGATTAAAGGCGTGCGCCAGCACCGCCCGGCTTAGAATCTTAACTTTTATTATTACTGCCTGTCCTCTGTTCTGCCTCCAAGCTAGGGTCCAGGAAGCTGTTTTAGTTCTCTGTCTTTATTCTATGACCTGCTGGTGTAACAATTCTCTCGACTTTTGTAGCATCTTACTTCATATTTCTTGAATCTAGTACTTTCTTTCCCTTTCCACTCACCTGCTGTTCTTCAGGCTCCATCCCCTCCAGCTATGACTTTTATGATCACCTCCCAGCTGACTGTCCACCCGCCCACCCCATAAGCCTTGAACTCATCCCTTGCATCATGGATAGAGAATTTTGTCTTACACGTCATTGTAACACTGCTCTACAAACTAAAGCAGTTAGCCATCCCCCTGCTTCCTGATGCCAGGGCCTACAGAAACAAGTTCAACACTTAACTGTGTCATACTCGGGGTTCTCCATGTTTGAGCATCTGCATAGGCCTTATGGCTTCGCACTCCCTACATCCCACATTCCATGTCACACAGCTTGCTCTTCCATAAATGTCTTTTCCCAACCCATTTGAATGCTTATGTTTAACCTAAAGCACATATAGTATTTATAATATGACATTTTACTTATTTGGTTACATACTGCCCTCCTTTTCTAAAGCACAGAACTCTCAACAACGTGACCTATGCTTGTCTTGTATCCCTAATACCTAGGCTACTTTGCTCCATGGTAGGCTCCCGATGAAGTTCTCTGACCCACGAGAGAGTGTAGATGTGATTGACAGGAGGAAGGCATCCCACCTCACAAAGTGAGCTAGATACTTGTTTCTTATAGGAGAAAGCATCCCTGTCACTAAAACTCCGTTATCCCAGATGGCTAGCTCTGCACCCTGGAAGATGCAGACAGAAGCAGATCCCAGGCGGCATGTTCTCTTCTGTGGAACAGAGGTCATCCAGGCCCGGGCAGCTGGCTCCGGGACTGTGAGAGCAGTGGTCCTACAGACAGGTGAGCATCTTCTCTGCAGGCTGTTTGCAATGACACCTTTCTGCTCAGTGTGTCTAATACCTTAAATTTATTAGGTTGGGACCAATCTTTGGATAGCACAACAAGTATGTGTAAGTCTGTATATTTTCAATGCTGACTTGCTGACTGAAGGGTGGCACCTGCATCTTAGTGGCATAATAGTGGCACAGATTACAGTCATCACTATTTATGTGCTTTGCAGTTTATAAACACTTTCTGTACATCAAGCCAGCAGCAAAGATGCATATTGCTTGACCCCTCCCCATTGTGCACATGAAGAGTCTGAAGCTTGAAGTCAAGTGGTCAGTTAAAGACCAATAAACTGAAAATGGGCAAAGCTGGACCAGAAACCCAGCATTTCCAACCAGAATCCCAAGTTCATTCCAGGCAGGAAGCTGAAAACTCAAAATTTAGCAGTGAAAGCTATTAGAAAGGTTTAGAATGTGGGATGCATCAATATTTTACTGGGCCACTCAATTGCAATTCAATCGAGGGAGACATGTATGTGTGTGTGTGTATGTGTATGTGTGCGTGCGTGCGCGCACTCCCAGGGTCACTTCCTTAAAATTAAGCTGTGCTCTGAAGAATTGTGCTCTGCCCTGGGTATGGCAGGCCCTGTCACTGGTGTGCATTGAAGTTACAGGTAGGGGGGGAGAAAGCCAGGGAGAGGACTAGGCTCCAAGGGAGACAATACGTTTCCATGTTAGCCGTATGCATTGTCCTAGACAATAAAACACTGTTGTCTTTAGGTTTAAATTTTAGCTTTAGATTCTTTAGAGCATTGGCTCTCAATATTCCTAGTGCTGTGATCTTTTAATACAGTTGAGGTTACTCCCAACCAGAAACTTATTTTTGCTGCTACATCATAACTGTAATTTTGCTGCTGTTACGAATCATAACGTGGCTATTTTTGGAGACAGAAGTTTGCCAAAGGGGTCGAGACCCACATGTTGAGAACTACTGCTCTAGAGAAGACCAAGGCAATGTAGACATTTAGAAGATTACTAACAGTATGGTTTGCTATCTTGAAAATGTGGAACATGTGTTTGTCATTTCAGGGTTCAACACCGCAAAGGGGGACCTTGTGAGAGCCATCCTTTACCCCAAGCCCATGAATTTCAAGCTTTACAGGGATGCCATCAGGTTCCTCCTGTGCCTTGTAGGGACAGCCACCATTGGCATGATCTATACTCTGTGTGTCTATGTGCTCAGTGGGGTAAGCCTTTGTATGCTTTCACACACACACACACACACACACACACACACACACACACACACACACACACACACACACATTCACTCTCCTCTACCCATTTTATTTCTATGTGCCGACCTCATTTCTGTATGTTGACCTTTTTTCAAGGACAAGCAGACTTAGAGCAAGCTAAACTCCAAAGACTCCTTGCAGGCACCCCGCTCCACCTCTGAGCCATTTGCTGCTCAGTTCTGTGATAGCAATCAGATTATAGTACAGGAACAGTTTGTTTACTGAAATGACAGCATGATTCTGTTCTTGCACATTTACCCATTCTTTACGCTACTTCATATTTAGTTTTAAAAGCGAAATATTTCATAAAAGTAGCATTTTGCAGCTATCAGATGAAGAACTCTAAATGCAGCCAGATGCTCAGTGCTGGCAGAGCCACAGCGAACTGGTGCATCTCTGGTCACAGCAGGATGGTTGTAGGCGTTCTTGGTGTACTTTGGAGAAAAGATACCGAGCGCCATCCACATGGTCAGACCCTTTGCCCCATTGACGCCATTTCTCAGCATAAGCAGAGAAGGGAAAGTCACACGCACGAAGCTGTCCACTGCTGATTTAGTTCTAATGACTGGACACGCTTTCTGTTCCAGGAACCTCCTGAGGAGGTGGTGAGGAAAGCCTTGGACGTTATCACTATTGCAGTGCCTCCCGCCCTCCCCGCTGCCCTGACCACAGGCATCATCTATGCCCAGAGGAGGCTGAAAAGGAAGGGCATATTCTGCATTAGCCCCCAGAGGATCAATGTATGTGGACAATTAAACCTTGTCTGCTTTGACAAGGTATGTGTTTTTCATCCTCCCTCCCAGGGCCATTTATCACTGCTGTTGTAATGGATACACGCTTTTCTCTTTACTGAGGCAGAAATAATAGGGAGGTTATGGGCATCTGACCTTATTTTATCTCTGGTTGTGCGGGTGTGATCTGGGAAATGAATTTTCTGACCCTGAGCTTTTGAAACGAGGGAGTAGACACTGAATCAATGAATCTTTTAGGGTCCTCTCAGTTGAGAGAGTCTATGAAAAACAATGTTTCAAAACATACTCTGTTCCATGCAGTCAAAACCCCCACACAGAAGCACATGCACACACATGCACATTCACACACACACACACACACACACACACACACACACACACACACACACACACACACACACACCCTAATTTAAGTATTTAATTATGTTTTCTCCTATATCTCCAATGCTTAGAACATTGCTTGGCAGTTGAGTCAATGCTCAGTAAGTCGTTATTGAATGATGGGACGAGGAAAAAGAAAGGGCTTATTAAACTGTGTGTTAATATGAGACTTTTGCTGACAATACAGCCATGCAGCAAACCCTAGTCTACGTTCCCAGCTGTAGTTTATGCTTAAAATGAACTTTTGGTCGTCTGCCGCTTTCCCCTGAGCAGGCTCTCCTTTCTTCTTTTCCCGGGGTTGTTTGTGCTGTACACACTAAGCAGGGGATAAAGTCGGGTTGTGAGAGGACTGGATAGAAACAATGGCAGCATAAGAAGGTGAGCAAAGGCCCAACATGGCGGCGGTAGGACAGCGCAAGACAGTATGGTCTGGACCCCAGCAGGATGCTAGTATTAGAAGAGAGTGTTTGTGAACCTTGAATGTCAAGTCAACACGATTTTATGTTTCTTTAAGCTACAGGGAACCATTGGAGGTCTTTGCTGCCTTCTGTTCCTTTTAGTTAATCATTATTTGTTGAAGTAAATATAAGATAATTTGCTATGTCAATCATTTGAAGTGCCTAGCGCACCGCCTGCCACTAAGTACATTCTCGCTGTTCTGTGACCGTTAGCATCACCCATCTTGAGAAACATCTTTATCTTCCCACACGGAAATTCTGTATCCTTTAAACAGTACATGGAAGGCTAAGAGCATTGATGGGATGCAAACTGTATTTTATGATTAGTGGCCAGTCAGAAAGTCACACTGAGAACAGAAGGGTCGGGTGGCCTATGTCACCATGTAGTACTATTTTATGATCAGAGCAGAAATGCAAGGGAAAACTGTTTACTAAGGATGTCATATTGTGAGTTTGAAAAGAGAAACAAGAATGGAAGAGATAATTGTAACATAAATTTGAACAAAACGATGAGCAGTAACTGTGAATCGTTTACATCACTGTTATTAGCTCTTACTGCGGGCTTGCTATTAAACCAATCACTTCCTATTTAATATTCAAGACAACTCTATACGATTATGATCATGTTGTAGATAAGGATTCTGGTGTTGGAGGGATTATGCGATATTTCCAGTTACATAGATGGTATTTCAACTTATCCCGAGCTCTTGGTTGTTATACTACACTAAGAAAATTATCATCATGTACTTTTTTATTAAACAAAAAAATCAGTTGGTTAGGCTATTTCTTTAGACTTCTCTTCAAAGTCTTAGCAGTGCTTTGTGGGTACAATTTCAACTCCATTACTCAGTTTTGATGACAGTCTTTTAGCTTCTGCTGTAAAAACAGGGATCCGCCCATTTTGTTGTTTTAAGTCTTACCAAAGCCTTTCCTGTTCTTCCATCTACAATTAGATGTTCAACATAGTCTCTTGGGGTGAGAGGAGGTACCTAGTCTTTTTTTTTTTACCACAGAGGACACAAAAGTTTACAGCCAATGCAAGCTTGCCATGTTTGAATTCACTGCAGCTTCTTCCTTGGAACCCAGATACCCACTACACAATACCTGTAATGTGGTTCTCCTTAAAGAACCCGTGTTGGGAATATCTTTGTGGTGTATATTTCTCTATTAAAATGTATTGTATTTGCCTTTGCGACTGTGTGAGCAGATCTTCCATGCAACCCAAAGTCTTGTTTCTGTTCAGACAGGAACCTTAACAAGGGGCGGCTTGGATCCTTGGGGAGTTGTGCCCTGTGACCAGAATGGGTGAGTACCCTGGGCTAACCGCTCTGTGGTTCCGGTGACTTGCCTCCTCCCAGAGTCTTGCCTTTGTTCTCTAGATGACTAAGGGAGACACTTGAACTTTGACTTTTGCTAAGCAATGATTACTGAAGTCCCATCTTTTTGTTTCTCCCTTTAGAATTTTCCAGGTCTCTCTAAAGATGCATATTAGCCTCAAGTCCGTCCTATATCACCCACAAACTGAGGAGGCGAGGGGGAGTTTGCAAACACTCTCTGAAATGAACTTTGCTTTAAGCCTGTTTGGCAGAGGCCTAGTATTGGTCCAGTGTCAGTGATCTGGACAGCACCAGGACACTGTCCTTCACAGAGGTGACATAGTAGGGAAGGCCAGCACTGACTCTGCATCCTGCTTTTCAGGAAGAGACTGTCTATGAGACAGTAGCTAGTGTACCCTGTTTCTTAGTATCCTGATTCTGAGAACCATAACCTCTGCCTGCCAGAAACTGCTCATTGAGAAAAGATTCCTTTGTGTTTGTGGGTCTGGAGGGGGAGAGGGCTAGGAGTGGCCGGTGGTGGTGGCAGTTTTCAACTTGCTGTCTTAGAGATTTGCAGACCCAGCCCTCTTGTGGCCACATCTGAGTTTGATTCCATGTCTGCTGATCTTCTCCAGTGTCAACCTTCAGCGTGGTCAGAACTGAAGTATGGGGCATGTGGCACATGGTTGCTTGAAAATGAAAGCATTTCCCTCAAACTTGAGCCATAAAGTATTTCACGAATCTAAGGTTGATCGTAGTTCTTTTAGTAATGAGACATTTGAATTAATTCTTGGAGAACTTCATACCGTGTATTTTGATCATATTCACCCCCTACTTCAACTCCTCCGTGACCTCCATTCCCTTCTCTACCCCACCCAACTTTGTGTCCTTTTCCTCTTTCCAAATGTATCAAGTCCAGTTTGTGATCGTACTTCTTTTATATAACGCAGATGACACACGTATCCATAAAGGATCTTTTTTAGGCTGGAGGTACAGGCTTGTAATTTTAGCTATTGAGGAGGCAAGAAGATTGCAGCCTCCAGGCCTGCCTGGGCTACAGAGCTAGCTCAAAATCCAAAAGATGCCAACATGAGAGGAGGGAGGGCTAGTCGATTCTGAGGGACTCTAAGAAACGGATGTTGCCTCTTCCTAGGAAGAAACTACTGTCATTCAGACAGTCTGTGATGTGACCCCCCCCCACCCCAACTACTGTGCTACACATTTGGGAAGGGGCTGCCCAAGAAGGCTGAAGAGGACATTCCTCTAGAGGGGCCAAGGATGAACTCAATGACTTACTCTTCCAATTAGTGAAAGAGTCTTAAGTATCACATATGAGTTCTTTTTCCATGGGTTTTAGACAAAGTTGCTTTCTGTAGGAAATGATGAGGCTAATAGTGGCACCAAGATGGCAGTGTTGAGGAGGGGATGCTCATGGTCCTTTCTGGAATGATTTTATTGTTCACTTCTTCACCGTATGACTTGCGAATTTTGCAAGAATTAACCATTCATGCCTTTATTTATATGTCAATCAAACATCTATGGTGGACCAAGCGTCTAATGTGTTAGGAGATAGATACAGAGAATATGCCCAGACCCATAGGCTTGAAAGTGGTGTGTACCTAACACACCTGGAGTCTGCCCATGACTGGAGAGAAATGACCTAGTCACTGGGGCGGGAGCAGGCCTCAGAACAAAAGTGGTCTTCTAGTTCTTTCCAGCCTCATTGATTAAATAAGTCTGGGAAGAATAATAAGTTGGAAAAGGAGCATGGGACAGCCTCTGAGCCTTTCTAGTATTCCTGAACAGACCTACAGGGCAAGATGGGTAACACACTGCTATCCTGCAGAGACTAGAGGGAAATGCAGCAGTGTGCATTACATCAAAGACCTCCAAGAAGCTCCATTTTTGGCACAAGGGCCCAGGACTGAATCTTTTTCTCTCTTCTGTCTCAGATTCCAGGCAGTCCACAGCTTTGCCTCAGGCAAAGCTTTGCCCCAGGGCCCACTGTGTGCAGCCATGGCCAGCTGCCACTCTCTGATTCTTCTTGATGGGACCATCCAGGGAGACCCTATGGACTTGAAAATGTTTGAAGCCACCAAATGGGTAAGTGTCTGACTTTTAGAGAATGCAAGAAATTTCTTTAATGCCAGCACAACACAAGCTGTATCACAGCCTTTTAATACTTAAAAAAATGTGGGGTTTCCAATATGATGTAAAGGGCAAAATGATCTAAACCAGGCTTTCTGATTTGAACCATGTGTAACGTAGGTTTGCTGTGGGATTAAATGAGATGGTACAATAACAATCTTTGGTATAGTTGTAAGTTCCAAAGTATTTGATGCCTACTGTAGGTTTAGTAGTTATCAATGCCATTATAATCCTTATGTAATTATTTCCTAGTTCTACCAGTCGGTGAGCTGGTTTCAGAGTTTTCTAGAGTTAATTTGGTGAGGTGATGATATGTTAGTTATTACAATTTCACCTTTCTATAATATATACGTAGGTCAAAGCATCTCATTATATCTCACAAATGTACACAATTGTAGTTTCTCACTAAAAAAGGAAAGGAAAAATATGCATTCTGGTGCATGGGGATTAGAAAACACTGCTCTCCACAGTGCTTGGGTAAGTTAGAGAGTCACGGCAACCAAGGGTTTTATTCCAATTTATTGACTATTCCTCTAATTTCCAAGACCGACAACAGAAATTGATTACAGAGTCATCCTCCCCACCCCCGAGGTTCCAAACTAGATCCAGGAGCAGACACTCCTGTGGTCTAAGAATCTTGCTCTTTAGTTCTAGTTTCAGCTCCCCCACAACTGATGCTCAACCTTGTGCCGTCTTCCGGCATGTTAGGACCTTGCTTCTCAGGTCTGTGGCATGAGGAGATGGAACCAGACAAGTGATATCCATATAAAGGGTGCTAATCTGTCCTCCAAGGGAACTTTATTCGGAAATAGCCTGTAAGGACTGTCTCTGGCATTGCTGCGGCTGTGGCCAAAGCAGGGAGGAGACATGGTTTCGGCTTCTCTGTTACTGCTAAGCTTTTTCCCTGACATTGTGTGCAGCCCAGGCCCTGGGGACTGGGTGAGCACCTCTGGAAGAGATGACTCTGGAGCTTCTCCCTCCTCTAACAGATGTGATTGCTTTGCAGTCTCTCATCCACTCTGGAATACTGATTCTGTATCTCTAAGTAGAGGCTACAGTTTTCCTTTCTGATATTCTTTTTGTCAGCCACCCAATTAGATGATTACAAAGAACTTTAATATCTTTAGGTAAAAAGGTTTCCTCAACTATAATTTAGAATCATTATTACAGTTGTTCCTAGACCAGTGATTACGCATAGGGCAAAAATATGCCCTGCTCAGGCCCCTTTAGACAGATAGGGAACAGCAAGATCAACCATGACTCTAGGGAAAGAAAGACCATGAGGTACCAGCTTCACACAAAATAAGCTTGGAGATTCAGACTCAACATTTCCAAGTTAAGCTCTTTAGAGGCAGAGAATGAACCTTTCTGCAGCAATTCCAACAGCGAAAGCCAGATAAATTGCATGAATAATTCAGAAGTGCATGTCCTTCAAGTTGCAGCATTTCCACTGCCTTGTGCGTTTTGTTTTGCTTTCCTGGGGTGGAATAAATCTGATTTCACTAGTCCAGCAGCAGCAGCAGCAGCAGCAGCAGCAGCAGCAGCAGCAGCAGCAAGAGGAGGCCCATCAACACACTGAGATGGTTGAGGGCGGGTCTCCGCAAGAGGAGGGTGCAAACTTAGTATCAGTGTATGAAGAATAAACAAACCCCGACAGTGAAATATCTCATTTGCGAAACAGGAAATGACTACTTCTGGGGATGATTTCCACATCAAGGGAATGCTGGCACATACCATGGTCGTTAAGCCGACAGACACAGTTGGCCAGGTAAGCCTTGCATGCCAGTCTTCCCATAGCGCTCACACCAGGGGGAACCTGTGCCCTACCCGAAGTGTTGGAAAACTCATGGATGTGTCTTGAACGGATGATGTGAAAAATGTGTTCTATTTGCCCATTACTTGGTAAAACAGGGACCGAGGGTGGAGCAGTTAATTCCCAATAGCTAGACTCTTGGCCAGCATGTGCCTCTCCATTCCCCATCCACCAACCAGGTCCCAGTGGAAGGACTCGCCATCCTGCGTCAGTTCCCATTCTCATCAGCACTGCAGAGGATGACAGTCATTGTCCAAGAGATGCGAGGCGACCGGCTGGCATTCATGAAAGGTGCCCCGGAGAGAGTGGCCAGCTTTTGCCGACCCGACACAGGTTAGCTCATGGACGTGGGATACAAATGGCGAACTTTTCTTTTCAGCCAAACTTGTCCGCACAACACTCTGGCTCCGACTGCCAGCTGGACGCCACTTAGTGGTTGATTCATGGGTGTTCCACGCTCCATACCAAAAATCAAGCTTAAAATGTTCACGTCTGTATTTCCCAATGTTCCATCTTGGGAAATGACCGCCTCCACCCCATCCCCCAGTTCCCTATTTAGGACTCATCCCTGATTCCTCCCTGCTAAATGCATTGCTACTCTTTTTGCACTTTTCCCCCTTGGTTGCCTTCCACAGCCTCCACCAGATTTTCAAATCCCTTTGAGATCCTAGCTTAGTCTTTCATGATCTGCGCTCCCTACCGTACATTCATGTTACGGTCTCCTGCTTCATCCCTCACGTCTCGGGCTTCCTCTGAGCTGTCTCAGACCCTTGTACCTGAGCACATCGGGGTCTCTCAGCCAGAAAGCACTTTCCTCCCTTCACCTGCCCACCTCCTCTCCAAGCGCAGGAGCTCCCCCAAAGAACTCTGCACTCTGTTGCATCGCCAATAATAGCAATGGTCATTTTGGGTTTCGTTTTAGTATCGGTGCACTGTTTTTAACCCAACTAAACAGAGCAGAGCTTGTACATAGTATACCCTTAGCAAGTATTTGTTGTTTAAACTGGAGAATAAAGAATTCCACACATTCCCTATTCTTTGTTTTTTTCAAGTGCTTCTGTCTCATGGTAGGCGTTTCAGCTTTACTGGATCTTAAGATGTTAACACTGATAATACAGTTATGGTTACAATTTCCCATTGCCTTGCTTACATAATTTTTTTTCTTCGATTTTCCAAGACAGGGTTTCTCTGTGTAGCCCTGGCTGTCCTGGAACTCACTTTGTAGACCAGGCTGGCCTCAAACTCATAGTGATCTGCCTGCCTCTGTCTCCCGAATGCTGGGATTAAAGGAGTGAGCCACCACCGCCCAGGTTTATGTAACTTTTTAAAAGCGTGCTTTCTTGGGTAAGAGTTGGATTATTGTGAATAATTTCTCTACCCATGCTGGCTAAGTAAATGTTGCATACTAATACTGTTTTCATTGTTGTTGTTTGTTTTTAAACAGTACCATCTAGCTTTATTAGTGAACTTCAGATTTACACGACACAGGGGTTCCGGGTCATCGCTCTGGCTTACAAGAAGCTGGAGAGTGACTGTCCCGCAACTGCCTTGATGAGGTAAAAGGGGGAAAGCTTCCCTGAAGAAGATGGTTTGGGCAAGATGCATCTGACTGGGATGGGAGGCCAAAGTTCTGAGGCGGGCCCAGCACGACGCCATGCTCATCTTTTGTCTTTGGCGTCTCTGAATATGGTGCACAGGGACACGGTCACCCTGTCCTGCCCACATCACAAAGCCAATGTGAACACTGGCAGAGTGTATGAGATACAGCTGTCCAAAATGCCAAACATACGGTGACCTTAGGGCCTTGTAAAAAGCTATGTGGAAATAGCCAGTGTTGTAAGGGTTTGAAATAGTGGCCCTGATTCTGATATAATGTAAATTGGTTAAAGCTTCACATTTGCTTAGAAAAAAACCTTTGTAATACAAGATACACAGCTGTTGAAACAAATAACCTGTCAATTGGGTTTAAGTAATCTAGGTAATGTTTCTGGAAAAATAGGAAAACCTTCCAAAGGGTCATACTGGAGAAAGTTTTGAAATGTGTATCTTGAAATAAGGATGCACAGTCGCTGAAATGGACGTCAGCAGCAACAGTTCCACGTTGTTGCTGTTGGAGGGCTATCCTATTTATTTTGCCTTAAATTTCATTTCTAGTATTTTTGTCTGCCACTACTATTACTGCCTTTGTAGGGTTAATCAAGGCTCATTTTTTATTTTAGTGTTTGAAACTCAAATAGTCTCACATAGTTATTTTCAAATTCATCTGACTTAGCATTCTTTAGTTGTAACTATATTTTGGCCTCTTCCCTTAGCATCTTTGAATTTATGTGTGCTATTTTCTGCATATATTATCTATAAAACATACCCTCCCATGTAGGAGTTAAAAGGAAGAAGAAAACGGTCCATTACAAAAAAATAATAGTTTAATAAATTCTTAGCAAATGCCAGTAAAACTAAGGGAACAGGTTGTGGGTTTGGGAGATGGCTCAGTCGGGACTTGTCTTGCAAGTACAAGGACCCAAGTTCAATCCCAGAACTCACTAGAAATGTAAGGTTTGGTGACCTGTGCTTGTAATCACACTGATGGAGAAGCTGACTGTCCCTGGGCTGACTGGCCATCCTAGCCTGGGTGGAGAGCTCTAGGCCAGTGAGACACAATGCTGGAGACTGTCCTCTGGCCTCCATGTGCGCACACATACATGCATACACATCCCTCTTCCCCAGTGAACACACACACACACACACACACACACACACACACACACACACACACACACACACACGGGACAGTTGCTTATACCTGAGAATAGATTCAGTGAGACTACAGTTGACTTCCTGCAATGTTCTGTGTGGTGTAGCCTCAATTTCTCACACAGAATGCCTCACACAGCCCTGCTGCAAGGAAGACAGCTCAGTGAAGTCATTAACAACTCCGTGGAAAACACAGAAGGAAACAGTACGACTTCTGCTCAATATTCTTAGTAGTGATATTCCTGCAAAATTTCGGGGTTACAAAAATACTTCGTGTTTTTATGAAAAACATAGCTGGGGGAAATATACTAGTAACATTTTTATTACTATTTAGTGCAACAATATTGACTATAGAATGATAGTATGACCACTAACAGTAGATTGATGATTCAATATAAATAATACAAACTATTGGTGACTTAAAACGTCCCTGAATGCTCAGTCAAGTATTCAAGAGGTATGAGGGATGAGTGACAGCTCTTTGTGCGTTTGTCATTGCACACAATCCTGTACACGTGCTAAGACTTCCCCCCTGAAACATCGCCTCGAGTTACTTCTGTCTGTGTCCCACCCACCATTCTTTCCTAGTGTAGCTGCTACAGGCCGTACAATGCTGCGACCATTTCTTTTCACTTCTTGGCTCAGATTTAAGAAGAGTGAAGGGATGCTAGAGACAGCAGGAACTGTGGAGAGCCAGCGATGTGCTGGGGTGCCACAGGGGGACAGCAGTTTATTCGAGGTCACACAGCAAGGCAGTGGTGGGCTGAGGCTGGAAGTGTGGTTTCTGATCGTGTCATTCACTGAGCTCTACACTGGCCACATGCCAGAGGAGCTAGAAATGGGAGTTCCAAGATGGTCTTGGGTGCTTGACCTTGCAGCCATTTTCTTGGCCCAATGTGGTAATTGATTATTGATTATTCACATAATCTCTGAAAATATCTAAATCCTGTGGCCTAAGTATGAGGCACAGAAAGACTGCAAAACTCTAATCAGGCTTCAGTTAAGTTATCCTTGAAGGGAAATTCAAATATCTCCTTCAGGAAGACTAATCACTATACCGAGAAATGCCTGTCCCCTCCTCTGACCCCACAGACCTCTGATTTTTGTGCCTGCCATGACGCAATTTCCAGCTTTATGTATGAACAAGGTGGCCATGCTCAATGGTTTCCTCCCAGCTGAATGTGAAATCTTAGAGCTGGAATTCCTGCAACCTCTGCAGAGTTGCCCCCTTTCCTCACCTAGGAGGTGCTTAATAGGCACTGATGGGTCTCACTGTCTCAGTTCCCAGGAAGAACGCAGAAAGAGCAAATGATTTCACCTTCCTTGTACAGCCAAACATGATCATCAGCAGGTAGCAAAGTGTTCCGAGTGGGTGGTATTTGCTGAGCGGTTCCTGCACGTGGGCATCAAGTGGGCATTAATGAGCAGAATCTTGACTCAGGTGGGCTTCCACTCCGGGATTAGAGGCAGATCAAAAAGCCAATACTGAAATTGCATGAATAAATAGAGAACTGGCTAATCCGGTTAGAATTGACATGTAGAGAGAGCAGCTGTTTCTCTTTGGAGAAGTCTTGGAGTCGGGCAGCATGAGGTGGGACTCAGGACATGGGGAAGATGTCTCCAACAGATCCTGGAAACTAATGTTTGCCATGAAATGAGAAAATCTCCAAAAGTCTGGAGCAAAAGTCTGGACATGATTGAGTGCAGAGCATATCCATGGTGAGTGGTCCAGCTGGAGCCAGGAGGAGAAGTTATTGATGCCTGAAGTTGGACTATAGCTTGGAAGATGTTCGTACAGGGACTTAAACACTATGCTCAGCGTTATAGGGAATGCCACCCTCCTAGATCTGCTCTGAGGTGAGGAGCTGAAATGTGTCACTTCCTGCCACCTAGTGGAGGAAGGTGTCACAAGGTTGTGGAAGCATCTCCAACAAAGCTGTGGCCTTAGCTGGTCCACAGGCTGGACACACAGGGCAAGCTTGGCACGAAGGCTTTAGCAGTTGCTGTTTTGATCTGCATTTCAGCACGAACAGGCAGTGCTGGGGTCGTGTTTCTGTGTCTGTGTCGAAATAATAGAATCGTGGGAATGTTCAAGTCTCCAACCCCAAACGCATTTCCTACACTTGGTCCTGTAGACGCTATCATGGCGGCCTCCCCGAAGTGTGGGGGTATTCTATGCAGAGGAGTAGAGCTTCCAGCTGAGGAAGAAGAAAGGGCCCAGCTTAGCTTTAGTAAAGGGCCCATTCGCTGATCTCTACCATACCTCACGAGGCTGGAATGATATCTGTACAGCCTTGGTTTCTGGAGAAAGTCACATTTTGCTTCATTTTTCTTGTTTCTCAGCTCATTGTTGTGACTTTCTCTCCACTCTGTGGTGAATAAGTGAGGAGAGGAGTGTCGGCTCAGCCATCGCAGAGACCCCAGCAGTCATGGCTAACTGTAGTTAGACCCCTGATGCTTCCCGCTCCCAGGCAGGGTTGTTTGTGGCTGGGGACAGTGCTGGAGTGGGGCTGTTCCAGTGGGTAGCCCAGTCTTTTTGTCGTCGTTACTGTAAGAAAGCCCCACATGCTTTTCTGTTTAATCAGGGAGAAGGTAGAATCGGACCTCATATTCCTGGGATTGCTGATCTTGGAGAATCGACTGAAGGAGGAGACAAAGCCTGTCTTGGAAGAGCTCATCTCTGCCCGGATACGGACTGTGATGATCACAGGTATAGAGCAAAGTGAAAACGGGGGACCCGGGAGACACACAGCAGGTTGGATCACTTAACAAACACTGCACCAATACCAAGGCATCAATTTAGGTGTCAGGTGTTTGCAATAAAAGGGTCAAGCTACACAGTGAGGCAAGAGAAAACCAATTCGTTAGGTAGTGGAACGAATGTGTTGAGGTATTCAAATTGGGGCGGTCTGAGGACTGGCATGGGGATCTAGTCCCATCACACCACATGGGAGTCTCAAGCAGGAAAATTACCACAAGTTTGAGGTCAGCCATGTTGACACAGTGAATTTCAGGCCAGACTGAGTGGCAGAATGAGACCTTGTCTAAGGAAAAAGTAAACAAACAACAAACCCACAGCAAGAGGCTGGAGAGGTGGGCCAGCAGTTAAGGTACTTGACGCTCTTGCGGAGGAATAGGGTTCCGTTACTAGTGCCCACATGACAGCTCACAGCCATTGGGAACTCCTTCTTCAGGGCTTCTGATTCTCTCTTCTGGCCTCCACGGGTACAGGGCATGCACATACATACATGCAGGCAAATACACACACACACACACACACACACACACACACACACACACACACACACACACACACAGAAACAAAAGGAAAAGAAATCAAAACAAACAACAAAAAACACACAATAAAATAAAACCAACAAAAACCCAGATAGAGAAGTCTGGTAAAGGATGTCTGGCCATCTACTCTGCACAAAGTACTTCTGAGAAGCCTCTGCAAGTGGCAGTGTTTGAAATAAGAGCGGGTTAACAGGAAGATATGGGCCATGCAAAGATGACTGTTTTTGTTGTCAAGTCTTCAGAGGAGAATCGTAGTCGGTGTGGTCTATAAACTATGCTGACAGCCCATCAATAATGGAATCTCTAATTCTGGTTAAAAAAAAAAAAAGAACACGTTGTCATCTCAACTCTACTTTGAAGTCTAAGATCTCATAAACAAGGGAGTAATGGGAAGGGATCATTCTAGGGAAATATATGACATTACTTAATGAATACTCTTGAACTTTTCAAGAAGAGAGATATTACAGGTGAAAAACTGATTTCCTAATTTATATTTCGAATGACTTGTCTTCGGTCTTCTGCTGTCACAGTGCCTTAAATTCCATAACTTGTGTCATTGACATACATCCTCTCCAAAACACTCACACCTCCTGAGTCCCAGTCTAAAGCTAGGGTCTCTAAAAGTCTTTTGTTTTGCTTGGCACTTACCCACTCCTGAATCCAGACCCCACAATCCACAGCACTGTGTATATTTTGCTTTCTTCCTTTCTAAATTCCAGTCTGACTCCTCGGCCTTCCTGGGGTAGTTTGGTACCCATTAACATTTTCTTTATCCAGTAGCCCTTGCTATTTCAAACATCATTAGCACTTATGTTACATATTGTCTTAGTTAGGGTTTATTGCTGTGACAAAACACCATGAGCAAAAAGCAAGTTGGGGAGGAAAGTGTTTATTTGGCTTACACTTCTATATCACTGTTCATCATCAAAGGAAGTCAGGACAGGAACTCAAACAGGGCAGGAACCTGGAGGCAGGAGCTGATGCAAAGACCATGAAGGGGAGCTGCTTACTGGCTTCCTCCTCGTGGCTTCTTGCTCAGCCTGCCTTCTTATAGAACCCAGGACCACCAGCCCAGGGATGGCACCACCTACCATGGTCTAGGCCCTCCTACATCAATCACTACTTAAGAAAATGCCCTACAGGCTTGCCTACAGTCAGATCACTCTTCACCTACATGTAGCATTTCTTCTTTAACTTCAGAGTTCAGAATTATTAACTGGGTATTCTCATATATTTTTCTTTTCCTTTTTAAAAACTAATTCAGTCTGGAACATAGCACTTTTAATATGCTTTTCTTCCTCTGAAGAAAATATTCTCTACCATTCATTTAATTATCACCTTTGTTCTGACTTCATTATCTTTTTATTCTGGAATTTCTATTTTTTACACGACAGGTCATTACAGGCCTGTGAAAGTCTCCTGGATCCATTCCATCAGTCTCTTACTAATTTCCTTACAAACTGCTGTAGTTTTATATCTTGCCCCCTTCTTTATGGTTTGAGGAGGGGTCACTTTCCGTCTCCAAATCACAATATAGTCCTCAATAATGAGCAGTGATCATTACCTCCCTCACATCACTGGTTGAGCTGAGAAATGCTTCGGATTGTGTCTTCATATGGGTGTGGCTTTAGAGGTAACCCGCTCCTGGCCTCACCCTGGTGCAGCATTTGGGTTCATCTGTCTGCAGCAGCTGCTGTACCTCACCAGGCATCTGCTCTGTTGCATCGTTTCCCATCCAGCTGCTGGGGTCTCTAGACTGCTACAGATTTTCTAGTTTCCCTGCCATGCCCGGGCTGTTCATCCCACTCAGTAGGTCTTCTTTTGTCTTCCTGATTTTTATGACAGATCTGTGGTCATTTTAAGCATCAGTATCTTGTGTGCAATGTGCTATTTTCCCCTCACAGCCTTTTGGTTTTATCTTTGACTTCCAGCTGTGTGACTATCATATGTCTGGGTATAGTTTTCACAGACTTTAACCTATTTGGGGCTCTCTGAGCTTCTTGAATTTACAGGTTTAAGTGTCTTACGATCGTTGGGGAGTTTTCTTCTGTTATTGTTACACACACACACACACACACACACACACACACACACACACACACACACACGTTTCAATGTCCTTACCCTCTCATTGGTCTCTACTGACAAGAACGCACGTCCTTTTAGTAACTCAAGCCTCTGTTCATTTTAAAAGGTGTTCTTTGTTCTCCCAAGTGCGTAATGACTCTTGACCGACTGAATGCATTGAGTGTATTAAACAGACCTAGTGAATAAAAAGCCTCAAGTGTTACAGTCTTCATATCTAAATTATTAATTTTAACCATACATATTAATTGATTGAATATTTCCATTTGTTTTATAAATGGTCACCTTACCCATATAAAGGATGCTTACAATAACTTCTTTTAAATTTATGTATTGTCATCATCGTGTGTATTACGCATGTGCTGTGGTGCACAATCAGAGGACAAATTAGTGGAGTCTCTTCTCTCTTTCCACATTCATGAGGGTCCCATGCCTGGAGCTCATTATGAATAGCTGATTCTTCTTCTTCTTCTTCTTCTTCTTCTTCTTCTTCTTCTTCTTCTTCTTCTTCTTCTTCTTCTTCTTCTTCTTCTTTTTCCTTCTCCTCCTCCTTCTTTTGTTTTTGAGACAGGATTTTTCTGTGTAGCCCCGAATGTTCTGGAACTCACTCTGTAGCCCAGGCTGGCCTCAAACTCACAGAGATTTTCCTGCCTCTGTCTCCCAAGTGCTGGGAGCCAGGCTAATAGACTATTATCTGATCATTTCAACACAGAGTCGGTCAAGGATGGCAGTGTTGGTGCTGATTTTTAACACTGACAATTGACCAGGTTGGTTGTTGTTACTGAGTATACCCAGGGTCTCAAATTTTGTTGTAAGATTTTTGATTTTTTTAATACCTTGTGTAGAATGTTCAGTCTCTTGCCTGTTGTAAGTAGGCATTTCAGTATTATCTTTTTAAAGTGTTTTGCTATTTTCATCTGCCTCTCTCAAGTGTTCAGGTATTTCTCTGGCAAATAGGGAGTGACATTTCATAGTTCAGTTCTTGAAATTGATGCTTTCTATTGGTCTGTACCACACATGACCTGCTCCACATAGAGCCTGGAGCTTACACGATTCAAACACTGAATAAGTTCCCTTCTGCAACTTTTGTCTTTCCATGGTTTTCGTGACAGTCTACACCCTCCAAGGGCCCTTTTGTCCTGGCTACTTTAGCCAGAAAGACTGGGTTTCTCTTGGTTGTTGCCAGCTGAACAGTTCAGAGTAAATACTAGGATACATATATACTAGTATACATACATACATACATACATACATACATACATACATACATAATACTGGGATAATATGTATATACAAACATACTAGGATACATACATGAATACACACTAGGACACATACATAAATACACACTAGGATACATACATAAATACACACTAGGATACATACATAAATACACACTAGGATACATACATGAATACACACTAGGATACATACATGAATACACACTAGGACACATACATAAATACACACTAGGATACATACATGAATACACACTAGGACACATACATAAATACACACTAGGATACATACATAAATACACACTAGGATACTTACATGAATACACACTAGGATACATACATAAATACACACTAGGACACATACATAAATACACACTAGGACACATACATAAATACACACTAGGATACATACATGAATACACACTAGGACACACACATAAATACACACTAGGATACATACATAAATACACACTAGGATACATACATAAATACACACTAGGATACATACTCAAGTCAGGCACATCAGAGGAAACAGGCAAATACTTGAGAATCCCACCCCTTGTTAGTTTGCTTCTTCAAGCCTGATGCCCTTCCACAGTCTGCCAGCTTTTGTTTACTTTCCAAAGTCCTTGGGTAATTGCTTCTGTGGTTTTTGTTTAGTTTTCAGTTGTAATCAATGGGAGAGATAGATGGTAGCAGACTGACTCTATTTCAACCAGAAGAGGAGCCACTGGATATGATAGCAAACCAAAATACTTCCTACACATTCATAAAGTTTGTAACAAATAGCAGGAATACATTTTTCTTGTAAGTTTTCCTTCCTACTTGCTGACAAAAATATGTGAGTTAGTTATGAAGTAACATGATAAGAAAGAGCCAGAACCAGAAGAGGGATTATGGAATCCCAGGTCAGGCTGGGAAAGACTAGTAATAGCCGTCATAGCTAATGTAAGAACTGAACCCTTAGCCTAGCTTTCCAAGTCCCGTGTGCACTGGTGTCTCCTCACCATCATCTTAAGATGCTCTTTCTTGATTCTAGGCGACGATCTTCAGACTGCAATAACAGTGGCCAGGAAGTCTGGGATGGTTTCTGAAGGCCAGAAAGTCATTCTTGTCGAGGCAAATGAAGCCACTGGTTCTTCATCAGCATCCGTCTCTTGGAAATTAGTAGAAGAGAAGAAACATATCCCACTCGAGAATCAGGTACACCTCAACACAAGGCGCTCAGCTGGATTATCGGACTTGCCACACAGTGGTGGCAACAGTTGTGACCGGCACAAGTTTTGAGACAACGCCAAGTCCATAACCTTCTCCAGGTGTCTAACAAGTATGAACCTAGTCATGTCAGTTCTCCGCTCTTCCTACTGTAGCCTACAGGCTGTCTTGGCTTCTGAAAGTAATAATTCTTTTACTCTTAAAAACCTTTGGCTTTAGCCGGGCGGCAGTGGCGCACGCCTTTAATCCCAGCACTCGGGAGGCAGAGCCAGGCGGATCTCTATGAGTTCAAGGCCAGCCTGGGCTACAGAGCGAGATCCAGGAAAGGCGCAAAGCTACACAGAGAAACCCTGTCTCGAAAAACCAAAACAAACAAACAAACAAACCCATGGCTTTTTACTAGAAAGAATACAGTAAGCAGAGCAGTGAGCTCAACTTCCCACACTTCCCCTCTCCTATCAGCCACTCCATTGGGTTCAAAGGGGACTTCGTCCCTTGGAGAGACCCGCTGTGTGCACTGGATAATCAGACTGTCTTCAGGGTAGGAAAAAAAATTGTTCCTTTATCTCCAGTCTTGTTAGTATTCTATTTCCATTGTGTCCTTATAGAGCAATATTAATTCTGTTAGAAAAAAACCCCAACAAGTTCTCACTTCCAGGCGAGGGTTGTTAAGTTGCCATGCTTTTGTCTTTGATACTCGAAGTGTGTGAAGTGCACTCATCTCTGGGACTCGCAGGGATCACACCACGATGAGAACATGAGGACGTGAGTGAGTGCTATCCTCTCATCAGCCGCCAGTGCCTGTGGCATGTGAAGCTCAGTCCAGCAAAGAAGCAGTCCTTCTCGGAGGGGTCAGGGCTGGAGGGAGACTTTTGGAGAGAGACCCTGGTGTCACTTCAGTCCTTTCTGTTGGATATGCTTGTGGTTCTAACCACTGGAACGATCCGAAGAGCATCAAACGTTTGCACCTTGCTTTGCAGGACAATTACATCAACATCAGAGAAGAAGTTCCAGATCATGGCAGAGAAGGGAGTTACCATTTTGCCCTAAGTGGAAAATCCTTCCATGTTCTAAGTCAGCATTTCAGCAGCTTACTGCCAAAGGTCAGTTTTAAGGAAACAATGACATTTCTGTGAGGGTGATGAACATGTCACTTACATAGCACGATCCCAGATAGTTTCAAAAATTGGAATAGATAAAATACAACTAGAGTCCTGTGATGGTGGTGCACACCTTTGATCCCAGCACTTGGGAGGCAGAGGCAGGGCAGATCTGAGTTCAAGGCCAGCCTGGTCTATAGAGTGAGTTCCAGGACAGCCAGGGCTACACAGAAAAAACCCTGTCTCAGAAAACAAACCAAAACAAAATTATACATAAATAAGTAAGTAAATAAAATAAAGAAAAAAGTACAAGTTAGTTATACATATCACAAGAGAGGGAAATGTTTTTGCAAAGTTACTGGTATTTCATATTAGATTTGAAAATAATAAGCATGAGGAGTCAGATTTATACCAGCCTTAGGACTAAAGTGGCAGCATGGAGGATTGGTTTTGGGGCGGCTCTCACCATGTCGTCATGGTGAGGGCATTTAACAGTTCAGTAGGCACTCAGCCGTGGGGGCAGAGAGCCAGGCAAGGATAGGAGAGTGCTATTATGTGTGTGGTAGATGACTCCTGTTCTGAAGGGCCCAAACTTAAGACTCTTTTACAAAGAATAAATTTATAAGAGGGGCAAGTTACTCGTTTGCAAACAAATGACTCTGACTGAACACTGAGCCGAGTTCACAGCCACAGAGAGCAAGGAGCACATTGCTCTCATACTGGAGAATTTGAAGTGTGGAGAAGGGAAGCAGCGCAGGCCATCTGACCTTCAAACTGTCCATGTTCCATGGCTCACAAAGTTTGGGGCACCAGCTGAGCTTCGTCATTGGTCAAGTCCAGAGGCATGACTAGGGCACAGATAGTCTCTGTGTCGCCACCTGGTGGTTTTCTGCCAGTTGGGAACAATTTTTGGAAAGCAGTGTGTGCTTGCTTTCTCTTGGGGACCTGCTCTGTTTCTCTGTTGTGATTGTCCGGATTCCATTGGTTCAGTTTTCCATGAAGCTCAAGACTTTCCAGAATCATATTCTCATGGCAGCTGGGTTAAATGTCATAGGGCATCATTTTTATAAATACTTGTATTTTGTTTCCATTGGATTTATTTGATAACAAAAGTCTCAATGTCCATCTTCAAATACAAAATAAATAATAAATAGAAGTATTTCCTTGGGAACAAGCTTTTTTCCTATTCATGGACATTACCAGCAAATGTTCTATTTTCAACTGCTTTGTGTGTAACTTGCCATGATAAAAAAGATTTCCTTTTTTCCTCACGCTAGATACTGATGAACGGGACCATCTTTGCAAGAATGTCTCCGGGTCAAAAGTCAAGTCTCGTGGAAGAATTTCAGAAACTGGAGTAGGTTCTTTGCCTATGATGAAGTGATGGAGGCGTGGATGGATCCATGGGGGATGGACCAGGCACAGGGAGCTGTGTAGTTGGGTTAGGACAGCGGTTCTTACCCTGGGCAGATCACAGTCACCGGGGGAAACTTAGAAAAAGGAGTAGTAATGGTTCCACATTTCCAGTGGTACTGGCTTAATGGCTCTATGGGGCTGGAACACAGCATTTTTGCAAAACTCCCCACACCATTCATCTTTGCACTCGAAGTCGAGAAGTGCTGTATGAGAATGTAGGGCCATGATAAGGTATGGTGGGAAATGAGACAGGAAAGGTAAGCGGAGCCCAGCCACTGAAGGAGCAAGAATTTAGGCTTTATTCTGATAAGCCACCATCACACTTATAACACAGAAAGGTTCATCACATCCCTCAGTATTAAAATATTCCTTTGCTAAAGTATCCGTTCTCTCACATCATTAGAATGCTTCAACACTGAGAGTCTCCATTTACAGATGAAATGAGTGTCCGGTGTTCATCCCTTTGACAACTTATTTCCTGTCAATGAAACCTCATGGGGGACCATTATCAATGCGATGCCCCTTCTAGCCCCATCCTCCTAACGATGTGATTTAGTCTTCAAGGAAGCTTCTCTACTCAAGAAGTCCCATCTTCTCATGTTGAAAACCATGAAGGGTCTCAGAATAAACTAGTTACCTTATAGCAGTGTGAAAGCCAAGTTTACAGCATGTGCTGCGAGCTTGCACTAAGAAACCAACCATTCATAACCTAAGTCAACAGTTCCAGACCTCAAGCAGACTTCTGCTTTTTTTTCTTAACTTCTGGGCCTGGCACTTCATTTCTCAGCTGTGTGACTACCGACAGGGTACATTTCCTCCAACAAGCCCAGTCTTGGTTTCTCTTTTGACTTTCAGATGCTTATGATTATGATTATGACTTTATTAGTCACTTTCCAATCTAACACTTGATGTTAAAAATGGCAAAATGAGGACATAAGACTCCAGACCTGGTTTCTAGATAAAATCCTGTGGCCCCCCCATGATAATGGTCCCCCATGAGGTTTCATTGACAGGAAATTGGATCACATAGTTGTGATCACTACCATTTTTGTGGAGGGAAAAACTGTTCTCAAGTCAGTGAAATGCCGGTGAAGCACTGGGAAGCCCAGTGATGTGCATGCAGGGTATTTCACTCCATTGTGTGACCCATACAGTCACACATTGCTTTGACTAGTCTCTTAGGGGGAGCTTTCCTACAGTAAATAGTTTAACTCCTTAAGTAAGGATGGTTACTTCTTTTTTTAACTAGAGAAATTAGCTTTATGGACAAACTAGCTTTGATTTTCTCTACAATTCATATTTCTTTTTTAGCTACTTTGTGGGTATGTGTGGTGATGGAGCCAATGACTGTGGGGTAAGTAGCTGTGGCCATAATTTCTCAAAAATACTTGGGATGGATATCATTTTCATAGACGTATTAAACTGACACTAAGGATTTGGGAAGGTTTTGATCAAAGCCACAAAATAGTCAATGGTTGCTGTATGTTAAGTAAGGTAGAGCTTGGTTTGGAGTTCCCTCTTCCTTGGGTAGGTGTCCTGGTGACACCTTCTCTAGCGCCACCTCCTTCTTAGGTGGCAGACAGGGTAAAGTCTGGCTGGGGATCGCAGATTACCTTCTGTAGAGGTGTGCATACATCGGTACTAAAGTGACTCTTTGTTTTCAGGCTTTGAAAATGGCTCATGTTGGCATCTCTCTGTCAGAGCAGGAGGCATCAGTGGCCTCGCCTTTCACTTCCAAAACTGCAAACATCGAATGCGTTCCTCATCTCATCAAGTAAGCAGTCACTTAGCCCAGTCTTGTTCTCGCTTTTGACTTCCAGGTGCAGGTAACATTATTCTGGGGAAGTGGAAGAGCTATGTGTTGAGAGGTGCTTTCTGTAAAAGTACATTCTCCTGCCTAGTGGACTTCAAAGGGGTTCTGAATAACATGGGGGAGGGTGGTACCGTTACCAGTAAACGTCGTTGGTTGGATTGTTTTTCTAAAGGGTTGCCACTGCTTTGAATTGCATTAGCAATTACTAGTTTAGATGCTTCATCCTGGGAGATCAGGAAAACCCACTTGATTTCCTTCCCTCTTGGCTCCTTGCATTTCCTTGAGATACCCTCTTCACCCCCAGTTTTAAAAAAAATCTTTATTAGTCTCTGGTGCTCCCATTGAATTTACCTTGGTCCTGTGTTTGTGAAGCTGGTATGTTTGGCTTGAATGGTAGAGACAGCATTGTAGCCGATCTTGGTCATCACAGCTAGCAGGTGTTTATAGTTTAAAATGTACTTAATAGTCTATTATACTTAAAAAAAATAGCCTGCAGATGGAGACATGGTTAGTATTTCTTTTGTAAATAAAGAAGCCAAGAGGAAGAGAACATAACTGATATACCTGTGCTCAGAGACCACAGAGAGCTGAAAATCATGTGTTTTATCAACTATTATACTTTTCTGCTGTATTAATGTAATGATTTGGCTAGCTTCCTTTGTTTAAGATATTTATCCGTGCACTTGAGTAGGGTTTGTTGAATAGGAGCTTAGTGCTGGGATTTAAGGGAGATCAGCAAAGACAGCTCTTACAGAGATTCCTGTTTGCTATAAAAAAAATGGGGTAATGTGAAAGGTCGTAATATGACTGGGGAAGAGGAATTGGTTGCTTTAGACTGTCTTGGGGAAAACCTCACTTGAGGAGGTGAGAAACGGGAAGAAATTACCTCCTGGGCAGAGCTAATGGCAGCAGCAGGAGATGGTTTGAGGATCAGGTCTTGAACTCATAGGGAGTTAGTACACCAATCGTGAGTAAATTGAAGTCTACTGCCACCCCTATATGAAATAGCAAGAAGTGATAAATTCCATGTTTTGTGCTGGACTGTGGTATTTTTTTTCAACATCAGCCAGCAACAACAGCACAAAGGAGCACGCTCATTGTGTTCCGTCTGTTGAAATCTGATGCACAGGTAATTTGAGCACACACATTATTTTGAGTTCAGTTTTAGGAAAAGTTGGAATTGCTGAGGTGAAATTTGGATCAAATGTTTGCCAAATTCACGAAGCACCTGCTTGAAAATGCTCCTAGGCCTTACTTATTTCTCTTAGTTCACAGACGCAGCCACTGAGACAGGGGGATGGGCTTCCAAATCACAGTCACATGTGCATATGAGGTCTGAGACCGGCTCCCAGGTCTCCTGGCTATGAGTTCAGGCACTGAAACAATTCCATGCATAATGAATGAAAGCAACTGTAAACCGGAGTCCATGGGCAGGTCAAGGCTGTGGACACTGGCCCGGAACTGCCCTTTCCTGAACAACCAGCCATTTAGCTCCCACTGGATCAAGGCTGTCCAGGGTTGGAGACAAGCTATCATAGAACCAGATGTCTGGCTTTTTATCCATTTGTTTTTATGGCTGTGCAAAGCCTGGATGAGAAAAAGCACAGAATGACATCCAATTTCTCTCCATCATTTCCCTCACCCACTTTCGTTCTTTTCTTCCACAGGGAAGGCCGCGCAGCTCTCGTTACATCCTTCTGCATGTTTAAGTACATGGCCCTGTACAGCATGATTCAGTATGTTGGTGTTCTGCTGCTCTACTGGGTATGACTTGGGACAAAGCCTTGTTGAGTGAGAGCCGAAGCAAGCAGTTGTTCACTCGATGAAAAGAGGGTGTGGGTGCACCAAGGAGCCTCCTAGACGTGTCCTCGAGAGTTCACAACATAAATCAGGACTAGACAGACATGGTGGACAAGCTGTGGCTTTCTGCTATAGAAACAGGTCATCAGGGGGAAACTGAGGAACAGAATGGAGTGGCATATTTATTCTCACTGTTGCTTTCTCCTATGCGGACCAGGCACCTGCTATTCCACTCCCACTCTCTACAGAGTGGACTCTGGTGCTGGAGTAGTGCTCAATAACCGGTGTTTGAGCTTCCTTCTCTGTTCCCGTCATAAAATATGGACCAAAAGCCACTTAGGAGAGGAAAGGGTTTGTTTGGCTTATCAGTTACTATCCATCCCTGAAGGGAGGAGTGTGGAGCAGAAAAACCAATGGAGGAACATTGCTTCCTGGCTCAGTGGGCTGAGCCCTCCTCTATCAATGAATAATCAAAAACACATCCCACGGGCAGGTCCGCAGGCTAATCTGATGGAGGTAATTTTTCAGTTGAGGATCCCTTTTCCAGGTATGTCAAGTGGAAAACCAACGTTAGCCATCCCAGCAGGCTTCCCTAAATATTGGTGCTTTACAATTTCAGGGGTATAAACATACAATAGCAGCACACACTTATGTACCACATAGACACAGGAGCTGTTAATACCCCGGGAGCATAGATAATAGAAAAAAACAAATGGAGGAAAATAAATAGGCAGTATCGAGCTTTGCATATACCCTAACTTCAATTTACCACAATTAATTTAGTGGTATGTTTGCACAATTTTAGTGTTTAACAACTAGAGCTTAGCATTCATGAAAACTCAGCAATTGACTTTCAAGGGTAAATAAACCAGCATAGCTCTCATTCCTAAGTACACAGATCTGAAAATTGGTGAATTATGATATAAAAGTACGTGTATTTTGTGGTGGCTCTTATTTTTTTTAACAGGATATAAAAGGAGAAGAGATGTCACTGTTGTTTGGGAACTCAATAAGTAATTCTCCCCAGTAATTCCGAGGAAGGGGACCATCCCTGCAGATATCTCATCCAGGCTCCTTTCCCTTCATGTCTGTTTTCTCGTAGGTCCATCTCTTGGTCTCACTGCTTTCAGATAGGTTTTCAGACTCTCTCATGAGGGGGCCGGAGGTTAAGCTGCTTGTAGGAATTTGATCCTATTTTGGAATGCTTTATTTATTATTTTGGAATAGTTTATTATCCTCAAAAGTATAATTCAACATGGCATACTATGATCTCCTTTGCACTCATGTGTGAGAGCAGGGGAGCAACATCCTCGAAGACGGGGCCTTGAACACTCTTTTGCAAGAATAGAAAGACAGTTTATTAAAAGCATGTAACAACTCTCTCCTAACAACACCCAAGATACACGTTGTGAATTCAGTCACTCTAACTTCCCATTAGTGAAAATTGTGGAAGGCCACCAAACAGCTGGTACACATGACTGACTACTGGAGGGGAATGCATGGTTTGTTGTGCTGGACCAAGCTCACATTTTCTGCTAGTCACCAGAAAAGGGAAAAGATGGATCTAGCAGGTGTTCCCCCAAACACTGGGTAGCCCTGATGCAGGAGACCCCACCTGGGAAGCACACCCAGGAGGCTCTCCTGGAGTGAGAGGCTTTCACGAACTGGGGGAACCCCCTCTCCCAACCACCACTGCTCACCAACCCAAACAGGTCTAAGACCATGCCATGTCCCAAATAAGCTGCTTGAAAATTTAAAGTAGCAGGGGGACACTTAACGCGACTTTTGCTAAATCTTATCGATAAGCGCGCCATTTTTTTTTTTTTAAATCTGCTTTCCTTTTTGTTTCCAGGAGACAAACAGCCTTTCCAATTACCAGTTTCTATTCCAGGATCTGGCCATCACGACTCTTATTGGTGTAACAAGTAAGAGCTTTACACCTTTCTTCCTGGAGGTTCTTCCCCTGCTTCCGTTCCTCAACCCCGGGAAGGTTTGCCTGTCATGAAGGCAGCAGCAGTAGCAGGAATGTATGACTTAGTCTCAGAGACACAGGGTGGGGCCGCAGAGTGCTCAATTCTATGAAAAGAAAATGCTAACAAAGGGAAAAACTGAATTTTTGCCTTTTCCACAAAATAGAGCGTTTCTGTAAATGGGCACCAATCAATTAGAACGGGAAAGCACCCTGGAAACAGGAAATGGGTGGAAACTGACTTCAGCTTGCTTTTAGGTGCAGGTGGAGTTGAAATGTGTCCCACTTGTAGAGCTGAATGGCTTTGATCTTTCTGACCTCCAAACTGAGGCTGCCCAGCATGGAAAGTGGCACTTAAGGGCAATTCTGCCGTTGTAGGACTCCTGCTTCCCACCTTTCTAATGAGTGTGTGGATTGTCTCCTACGTAGGGGAAATTTCAATTTATGAATGCATTTTCAAGCTATTTTAGGCTTGCAGCAAAGAGGACACAAGTTTGTACCTTTCCCCTGAGTGTACACCGCTCCATCTCGCCCTCAACCTCACCCCTTTGCCAGCCTCGCCCCTGTTGTCAACCTCACCCCTGCCCCAAGAGAGGCACATTAGCCGCAACTGCCTTCCACGCATCGATACATTATGATTCCTGCCAAGTTCATAGTTACATTGGGCTTTACTCTTAGTCTCGAACTCTAGGAGTTTGGACATGTGTCAGGTGACAGATGTCTGTCATTGCACCATCAGACAGAATGTTTACCCTCAAATGTTTCATGCTCCATTTGCTCTCCCTCCCCAGAGCTTCTAATAGGCACTGTAGTCTTTTCACTGTCTCTACACTTTTCCAGAAACTTCAGCAGTTGGAATTACGTAGTCAGTAGGCCTTCAAGCTCAGCCTCTTTCGTACAGTGACGGTGTACACTCGACCTTTCTATACACTTTACATAGCTTGACGTTCACCTCTGTAGCAGACTGAATGACATTCTGTGGTCCCTGTGCCATAGTTTATTTCTCCACTTACCTACTGAAGGGCATCTTGGTGCTTTCATGTTTTTATAGTTTAAGCATAAAAGTGCTTTGAATGTCTGTGTGCAGGATTTCATGTGAACATAACATTTCAAATACACTGTCCACTTTGGTTCTCAAGTTCAACAGCGATACCCTCTTAGGAGCCACCCTAGGCACCAGTGTCTGGGAGGGTGCCCATGCCTAACTCTCTACAAAGGTCCAGATCTTTCATTAACTCTTTGACATGTGCTGTGGCTCTGCTTCTCTGCCTTTTCTCCCATGATTTTAATGGTTCTTGTGACAATTCACTCTAACAACATGTTCAGAAATACAAAAGGACATGCTCAGGTGGAGATAACTGCTAATTCCACTTCAGCCACTACCCCCTGCTTGCTGCTGCAAGGTTCCCCTTGCCTTTCTGCTGTCCACAGCAATAGCCACTTCTCCTTAAACACCGGACTCTCAATATCACAGTGCTCTTTCCTCAAAGGGTTTCTTTTCGCTTTAGTGATACCACACTCAGCCGAATTAGTCTACCACATAAGTGACACAGCTTCCATCTCTTTCCTTTTTTTTTTTTATTTAAAAAAATCTCCTTAAACCCTGTCCTCAGAGTATCTTGTCCTCAGTTTGCACCCTTGCTCTAAGGGATGTCAACTAGTCACATGACTTTAAAGTCATCTCTGTGTTATGAACGCCCAGTTTATAGCTATAGACGAGATGATTATCTGGAGCTTTGGAATGAAGCATCCAGCTTTGCATATTTAATGGAGCCCACACATAACATACTTGAGCCAACCTCTTAATTCTGCCAGACCTAATTATGTGAACTTACTGAGTATCATGTTTGTGCTACTTAGTGCTCCAAGCCTTTGGGCAGTCCATGAGATAGCACTGTTACCTCCTTAGCTGTTCAAATTAAAGACCTGTAGTCATTCTGGCTTTTTGCTTTTTTTTTTTTTTTTTTTTTTTTTTTTTTTTTTTTTACCCTGTATGTCTAATACATATGACATTCCTGTAGTGGACTGAATAGGAATGGACCCCATAGGCTTATAGATTTGAATGCTTGGTCATCAGGATGTGATAGTACTTGAGAGAGATTAGGAGGTGTGGTCCTCTTACAGCAAGTGTATCACTGGGGGTGGGCTTTGGGTTTTCAAAAGCCCCAGCGAGGCCCAGTGTCTTTCTTTTCCTGCTGCTTTTGGACCAGGATGTAGAACTCTTTGCTACTTCTCCAATACCATGTCTGCCTGCATGCTGCCATGCTCTCCGCCATGATGATAATGGACTAAACCTCCGGAACTGTAAGCAAGCCCCAGTTAAATGCTTTTCTTTATAAGAGATGCCGTGGTCACAGTGTCTTTTCACAGCAATAAACATGGACTAAGACAGTCCCAATTGGGTCTGTCTCCAAGTACATCCTGATTCCCTCCCTACCACTGTCACCTCATTTGTTGGGTGGGCTGTACCAGGCGTGTGGAGCCATGTTCACCTACTTATAGGAGTGTTAAGGATTTGAACCCAGGTCATCTTATTTTAGCAGCAAGTGCTCTTACACACTGAACTGGCTTCCTACTCCCTTAATGATTCTTTTAACATCATTTATTGTATTTCCTGTGTATTCCTTTTGGCTTCTTTTAATAATTTCTATAGTTTTGTTGACAGTCTCATTTCATTTAACTACTGTTTTCCTTAAATTTTTGTTCATGGTTTCACTTAGTTCTTTTTAAAATAACAATGTTTTCATGTGTTTTTATCTTATATGTATGGGTGTTGCTGTATTAACATCTGTGCATAATGTGTATGCAGTGCCTTCAGATACCAGAAGAGGGCATCTGATCCTCTGGAGCCACCATGTGGTTGCTGGGTATTGAACTTGGGTCCTCTGGAAGAACAACCAGTGTTCTTAACCACTGAGACACCTCTCCAGCCCCTTCATTTAATTTTTAAGAATATATACAACAGCTAATAGAAAATTTGCATATAAAATCTAATGTGTGGGATTCTTTGATGTCTTTTAGCTTGCTTTGTTCTGAGCATTATTGTGTATATAATAACTTTGGGTATAAGATTAAGCTCCTTTTCTAGGTTTTATAGTTTTGTTTTGCTATTGGTTGGAAGTTATAGTCATCCATTTATTACTGAGTTCCCAAAATTGTATTTGCAAAGTCATATTGCTGTAATCAGAGGCCACTAACATCTCTGTTTCCTTTAGCTCATGTTTTGACAGAGACATCTTTGAACTCTAGCAGTTAAAAAATAAATGAGCAAACCAGCTTCCTCAGCTTTTGCAGATTGGATCTTGCTGTCGTGTGTACTCAGCACTTGACAGACCCACACCGAGTCTAGAGACCATGCAGGGCTGTGAGCTTTACATCTGTAAGCATGAACCAAGCATCAGGCATGTGTCTAGCTTTTGTATACCAAAGCATACACAGATGCTGTTGAATGCTCCGATTTCTCCAAGGTTCTTCAGCTTTCAGTGGTTCTATTAGGCCCATTACATCCCTTATCTTTTTTAGAGACAATCTTGAGTATTTTCAAGCACTGCATGTCAATTTGTTTTTATTTTTGCCCTGAATGAATTCCATATTAGGAGTCTCATATTAAGTGAACTGGAGATGAGAATCTGGGATCATTTCTTCAGGTAGTGGCTAGGTACATTATGGCAGACCTGCACATGAACCTGTGGGTAAAGTCTGCTGTGTAGCTTCCGTGACTATGGACCAGAGAGCATCTCAGGAAATGCAGGGTACCATCTTCCAGACTGATCCCTAGCGGGTGAAGGAGTAGGGCAGGCGCATGCAGACATGTGACAAAACTCTCCTGTAATTTTAGTGAGGCGGCTCCGTGGGTAAGAGCACTCGCTCCCACGCCTGACAACCGGAGACCCATCCCTGGGACCCACATGGTGGAAGAAGAAAAACGATGTTAAAGTTATCTCCTACCTCACACACACACACATCACGGTGTGTGCTTGTGGGCACACAAGCAATAAACAAACAAATAATAACAAAGGAATGAATGAATGAATGAATGAATGAACATAAAACATTTTTTGAAGAGTTGAAAAATCCTTACCATTTTAAGTTAGGTCCCCCCCCCTTTTTTTTTCTTAATTCACTTTCTGCTATGTTGCTACAGACTTTTGTATATTTTCTAGAGCTCTGGCAAAGGTTGGTTTGGAGGGTTTTGCATATTTTCCAGTGTTCCTCTGGGGAGGGAGCTCTCAGTGTGCCTTCTCCATTTTCCTGATGCCATTAAACACTGGGAAGCATTTCTTCACCGTGATTGTGTTACAGACTGAACTTGATATTGATGTCATGACGAATATTGTTCTGGAATTTTAATTGCTTTGATTAGGATAAATTTCCCAAAGTGGAAACCAAAAATGGAATGTTTTTCCATTTTCATATTCATTTCTTTGTTGGCACTGAAGTTTTGTCTCAACTCACATTTCTACAAAATTCACTAAAGGGTGTATGCTATCTTTCTTTCTTATCATTTAATAGTCTTTGCCAACTTAATCGGCCATCCCCACCCCACCCCCCAAAAAACCTAAAAAACCCAGGCATCTTGCAACTGTCCTGTGTCTGTTCTTTTGAAAACTTCCTCATGACTTGTATTTGGAACCATTAACTGCTTTGTTCTCCCAGTTTATAATGCTCTTGAAGTTGTCTATTTCTTTAGATGATTGCACCAGAGAAGTTATATCATTCTTCTATTTCAAGTTATTAGTTCTTTAACAATTTTGTACCATATGTATGTATTTATTTACTTATTTATATATGTATGGGTGTTTTGCCTGCATGTATGTCTGTGTACCAAATATGTGCCTGGTGCCTGCAGAAGCCAGAAAAGGGCATTGGACCCCCTGGAAGTGGAATTACAGATGATTGTGAGCCACCATGTGGGTGTTGGGAATTGAACCCAGGTCCTCTGGAAGAGCAGCCAGTGCTTGTAATTGCTGAGCCATCTCTCCAACCTCAGTCATTTTTTTTTATCACATTCACCCCCTCACCAAACTCCTCCCGGTTCACTCTCCTTCCTTCCCACCCAACTTTGTGTCCTTAAAAAAAAATAAACCTATTCCAATGCTTTGTGCTGCACTAATATTCTTGTATGTGTGGCCTTCCATTGGAGCGTGGTTGCATTAATTGGGGATACATGCTTAAGAAAACTGACTCCCTGTCTCCCAGCAACAATCCAGTAGCTCCTCAGCCAGGGGCGGGACTTTATGCCCAGCTCCCCTTCCTGTGCTGGGATTTGGTCTGGCTTGCACTTGCACAGATCTTGTGCATGCTGTCCCAGCTGCTGTGAGGTCACACGTGCAGCCACCCTCTGTGTCTGGAAGACACTGTTTCACTGTTGCCATCGAGGGCCTCTGACTTGCACATTCTTTCTGGCCCTTCTTTTGCAAAGATCCCAGAGTTTGGGGAGAATGGGTTGTGATACAGGTGTCCCGTCTAGGACCGAGCGCTCCACAGTCTCATATCCTCTGCTTTGAGCAGCGATAGGTCTCTGTGTCAAACACCATCTGCTGCAAGGAGAGGCTTCTCGGGCTGAGGGTTGGCAGGGGCATCGATCCTACCGTTCTTACTGCTAAGAATGCAACATTTTCCCACTCTCGTGCATGTAAACCTTGGATTTATTTTGCAGTGAATCTGAACGGGGCCAACCCCAAGCTAGTGCCTTTCAGGCCTGCAGGGAGGCTGATCTCCCCACCTCTGCTGCTCTCCGTTATCCTCAACATCCTTCTCAGTTTGGCCATGCACGTCGTGGGCTTTGTCCTCGTACAGAAGCAGCCTTGGTACCTCATGGAGTTGCACAGGTATCGGTGTGGCCTCAAATCCAGCTTCTTGAAGTCTGATTTCTGTCAAACATCATCTGCCCTGCATGAAGAGAGCCAACTGGGTCTTCACCTACCCAGAGTTTCAGTTCCTTTAAGTCTTTTGGGAAAATTTCCAACAACCCTCTGTGCTTTTATCACACACCATTGACTGTGTTGTTTAATAGTGAGGGTGGCTAGAGGTCATAACTCTCCTGTTTGTCCCAGTTTAAGGAGCCCAGTTTAGGCCATGTCTGGTGAAATGATTGAAATCTTTTCCTTTCAAAATTGTCCCTGTTCAATGATAAAGTATATGTCACCCTCTGTATGACTTAGGAGTTCTTAAATCTCCTAAGGGAAGAATCACAATTTACTCATCTCCTCCACCCCCTGTATCCTTAATATACATGATGGATGCACAGCAGCTTAATGATCAAGTAGACAGTTGAATCTGCCCATGTATCTATTTACAAATTCAAACAGACAAGAGTATACATCTGTCTGCCCTTATTTTTCCTTTATTTTTGTGTCTTTTTTTTTTAAACCACAATGGAGACAACTGCGAAATATGGGATGTTTGCTCCAGACACCGTTTGCCACGGTGGCCACCAGATGCAAATGTGTTCTGATGACTCTGTGGCTTTTTTGGTTTCCTTTATAGTGCCTGCACAATGAGAAATGAGAGCATCTCAGCCATCATCACGTCTCCAAACGCTCCTGAGAAAAACAGAAGTCACAGCCCCTTTTCGAGTTTTGAGAATACTACTATATGGTTTTTAGGAACCATCAACTGTATCATCGTGGCCCTTGTATTCTCCAAAGGAAAACCGTTTAGGCAGCCTACCTATACAAACTGTGAGTAACACTGCCCGGAAGCAGCATGACGATGATTTGACCATCGCTGATCATTAGAACAGGCATGCTCAGGTCACTCAGGAACCAACCTGCACAGCTGAGTCTCAGCTAGAGTCCCCCCACTTCCACTCCAGAGCTCCAAAAAATTCTGGAGTCTCATTCCCCTGCCTCTCTCTCTCGTCCCATCAAAGAGAGGCTTTCTCTTTTCATCCTGTTTTGCCACCAGAAGTTGTCTTTAGTGATTTCTCTTGGGATCATCTAAGTTGGGAAGATCGATGCAAAGACCAATCTTTACTTGTCAGTGTCTGTCCGGATTCATCCTAGGGATGTGAGAAGGGGCACAGCCCTCAGCCGGGATGGCATTGTTTGGTGACAGACTCGGAGTAGGTCCAGCCCAGAGGAAACTCATTATACAGCATTGGGGACACCCTTAGCTGGAGGAATTTGGGGCAGAGAGGCTGTTTAGGAGAAGTGGGTGCCCTAATTTGTTTCTGAGATATGTATTTGTATATTAGTATTAACCCTCTAATTTAAAAAATTCAGAAGCACAAGTTGGAGGATCAATGTCCTCATACAAAAGTGTCCCAGGAAAATTACTTGATCTTTTTCCTCATTGGGATGAAGAAGCAGTTGAATGCTTATCTTTATACAATCACAATTTAAAATTTCATGTATTTATGGCATTCCTGGTTTTCCAGAAAGGGATTTGAAGCAGATGACTTGTGTTAAAGCCAGCTACTTGAATGTCTTTAAAGCACTCATTGAAAGGGCATTTTATCATTGCTGTTCTCTATATATTTACCACCTGCACTAATTGAAACATAACATGCATATAAAAAGGGCCCCCCCATCAAGAACATGCATAGAAATTATGGAGGTGAGACCCATCACATAGAAATGAGTGCTTTCGTTCAATATGCTGTATTTGGATGCAGAAATCAAGTAAATGTAATTCTAGCGTTAACCTAGAATGTATCAGTCAATAGACTCATGCTTCACACAGCAACTTCCCAAAATGATAGCCTGTGTTCTTGTTTCCTCAGATATATTTGTCCTTGTACTGATTTTGCAGATGGGCGTATGTCTTTTCATTCTATTTGCGGATATTCCAGAGTTGCATAGGCGTTTGGACGTAAGTATCTTCTCCGGAATTATGGTGTTATGTATTTTTGTCACCGGCTTCTGAAAGCAGGTCACTGTTGGAACTGACATGGACTTCCGACACCGGTTATGTACTTTGGAACTGGCAGAGTTTGAAAGAATGATAAACTATATCTAATTTTTACTTAAGCTAATCAGGAAATAAAATTCCATCAAGTGTTGATTCTGAGACTAGAGATAGCCTTCAAAAAAATATTGAACCATTTTTCATTGAAAACAAAATCCCCTGTAAGACTGGTAAAAATTCTACTTATATATTTTCTCTTTCAAATGCCATTTAAAGAAACTTTGCCTGCAACCATCTTTAGGTTAATTCTCAAATCTGTACTTACTTTGAAAAATCCATGCTTCTCTGTATGTTCATAGTTATATCTGAAAGGGTGCTTTCAAAGAAGCTTGTTCCTGTATCTCAAGCTCTCTCTTACATTTGAAAAAATGTAACCAAGACAACTTTGAAACCCTACAAGATACCATAATCTTACCTACTCAAGCTAGGAAAAGCTGGCACTCTGCAATAATAAAGGAGGGAATGTTTTGGTTTGGCGAGAGCTTGTGTGGAGTCCATGGCAGTGGGACTACAAAGGATGCTGAAAAGAGGCATTGTCCAGTTTAAAACCAAGCCTTCTTATCACATAAACACGGATCTATTTTAGAAAATGTGGAATATTCAGGGAAGGAAAATGATAACACTATCTGCTATCTTTCCATCTTTTAAAATTCATGTATTGTAAATGGGTTTTGCCTCAAATTTATAAAGTTTATCCTGAATTGAAGCATGTTGATTCACAACCTAGATTTTTTAAAAATGCGTAATACATTCCCGTGGTTTAAAATTGTTTTTAAAATGTAAATACTCTAAAATATCCTTCCCAACCTAGCTTCCTTCTGGAGGCAATGCATGGTATCAGTTTTTTTTTTTTTTACATATATTCACACTTTATTTTCTACATATGCAGAGAAGTACATGTATTTCTTATGTGTATGAATCTTCTCCCACATTTTTACACAATGGTAGCAAACTGTTCTGTTTGTCAGTATTCTGAGATGTTGATATCAAAGTGGGATGTGTTATGCAAGAAATTCATTGTAGAAGATATCTGTGGGAGAAAAGGGTAGAAGCCAGGGAAGACAAGGAGAGGCATCACACTGCCACAAAGACCCCGGGAAGAGTTGGTGTGGCTGTAATGACTTAAGGATTAAGCTGAGATTGTTCATCAGGAATGTCTGGCATCTTACAGGAGAAAATCTCAAGAGAATCCATGCCATCCTCATTTGCTGGCCCCGAGTAGCCCATGGGAAGTACAGTGTTGGAATGGAAGTTGTGGTAGATTTTGAGTATAGTGTTTGGGTTGCCAATATTTATCTTCCCATCAGCGGGAGATGTGAATGGAACATTTTCATAGCTGTGTGTATTTATCTTCCCATCAGCAGGAGAGCTGAATGGAATATTTTCATGGCCGCTACAACCACATACACAGTCCTGTACCTTATTTCTTTCATGTAACAGTGTATTTTGGTAATTATGTCATGCTAGCACATAAATCTCCATTGTTTTAAGTGATAACATAATATTTTGTTATATATACATATGCATATTTCATGGTATAGATTGTATATGTATCATAATTTTATGTGCAGTCCTATATTAATTAACATGTAACTGTTTCTAAGTTGTTACCCTTAGAAAGACACAGTAAAAGAACCATGTCCATATCTTTTTTAGTCATGTACAAGTATATGTCAGGAGTAAATTCCTAGAAGTGGATTTAAAATAATAATTTTGAGAGCATTGTTCTCCATAGGATTGCATCAGCTTTTACTCCCATCAGCATATGAGGCATTGTATAAGACATGTAATACACAGCAGAGTGTACTTGGCTTATCCATCCATCCACCCACCCATCAATATATCCATCCATCCATCCATCCACCCACCCATCAATCCATCCATCCATCTATCCATCCACCCATCCATCCCTCTACCCATCCATCCATCCATCCATCCATCCATCCATCCATCCATCCATCCATCCATCCACCCATACATCTACCCATCCATCCATCCATCCATCCATCCATCCATCCATCCATCCATCGATTAGTTCATTCTCACACTTATGTATCAGGAACTGTGCCTGAAGAGGGGTTGGAAGAAGGCAGAGGAAGTTTGGAAAGAGCTTGATTTCAGCTCCACGTGTTCCTTTGGCAAGTACCCCTGTAAGGCCACAGGCTGTGATGCTATAGGCACAGCCCCAAAAGAGCAGCCCTGACCCGGTACTCCAAAGCAGGACTTGAATGAAGAGAAACATTGCACTAGAAGGCAGAAGGCCACCCTGTCCACAGTGGAGGTTCCACACATGTATCCTCAGAGATGCCTGGGAATAAAGTCACATTCCTACATTCCCTCTTCAAAACAACACAAAACAATCAGATAAAAAAGGGTTTGTTATTATTTATTTTCATTGCAAAGAGACCAAAATTAGAAAATGTAGAAATTTTAGATAAAAGAAAGAAACTGAGAAAAAGAAAAGAAAGGAAAAAAAAAAACCCAGTCATAATCCTCAAATGATTAAATATCAGTTTTCCACACTTACAAGTTTTTATGTATATGTGTATGTTCAAGTATGTGTATGCAATATGTACTATATACACGTGCCATTTATATTCTAGATTTATTTAATCTGTGCATGTCTGTGTGTCAGTGTGTGAACTTGTGCAAATACATGAGGGTGTCATGGAGGCCAGAATCGGGTGTCAGTCCACCTGGAGCTTGGGTTACAGGTAGTTGTGAGTCACCTGATGATGTGGG